ATCTGTACCTAGGGGAAACTTCACCCCAGAGCTGGCACAACACTGTAGTCCTGTGTGGCTCAGTTGGTAAGAGCATGACGCTAACAATGGCCGGATTGTGGGTTCAATTCCCCCAAGGATCACAACACATAAAAAATGTAGGCGTATGTACTGTAAACTGCTTGAAGAAAAAAAAGTGTCTAAGTGGCATTTATATACAATACTGATGTCTGTAACCCATTGACTAGAGCAGAGATTTGCAGGTTTTAGTTGTGTAGCTTAATCATATCACTGAATTGAGTTATATTTTAAGTCACTGGAGTGAGAATATCAACCATCACAAAAGTAAATATCTCATCAAGTATCTAGCAAGCTGGAATTGAGGTAGGTGGTTTAACTACAGATTGCAAATACAGTACAATAAATGGGCACTTTCCACTGACTACAAGGTGAGGTGTTACCTTTTGATTCAAACTGTGACATCCCTCCTATCCAGGTAGAAGTTGAAGGGAGTGAACTGGGAGCAGCTAGACTTTTCTGAGTGGACAACAGTTCACAAATTGGTAAGAAAGGCAGGAACTGGAATAGTAAACCAGGACTTCCTTATCCGTATTACCTCATATAATTTCCATGGTAAAACAACCCAATTGACAGCACTTCGTATAATCCTTTAGCAGAAGGTCTGAATTTCTGAGGATCCTATTGCCGTTTTACTTCATCAGTGTCCATGTAGTACAGTCGTGGTCAAAAGTTTTGAGAATGACACAAATATTAATTTTCACAAAGTCTGCTACCTCAGTTTTTATGATGGCAATTTGCATATACTCCAGAATGTTATGAAGAGTGATCAGATGAATTGCAATTAATTGCAAAGTCCCTCTTTGCCATGAAAATGAACTTAATCCCCCCCAAAACATTTCCACTGCATTTCAGCCCTGCCACAAAAGGACCAGCTGACATCATGTCAGTGATTCTCTCCTTAACACAGGTGAGAGTGTTGACGAGGACAAGGCTGGAGATCACTCTGTCATGCTGATTGAGTTAGAATAACAGACTGGAAGCTTTAAAAGGAGGGTGGTGCTTGAAATCATTGTTCTTCCTCTGTTAACCATGGTTACCTGCAAGGACACACGTGCCGTCATCATTGCTTTGCACAAAAAGGGCTTCACAGGCAAGGATATTGCTGCTAGTAAGATTGCACCTAAATCAACCATTTATCGGATCATCAACAACTTCAAGGAGAGAGGTTCAATTGTTGTGAAGAAGGCTTCAGGGCGCCCAAGAAAGTCCAGCAAGCGCCAGGACCGTCTCCTAAAGTTGATTCAGCTGCGGGATCAGGGCACCACCAGTGCAAAGCTTGCTCAGGAATGGCAGCAGGCAGGTGTGAGTGCATCTGCACACACAGTGAGGCGAAGACTTTTGGAGGATGGTCTGGTGTCAAGCAGGGCAGCGAGAAAGCCACTTCTCTCCAGGAAAAACATCAGGGACAGACTGATATTCTGCAAAAGGTACAGGGATTTGACTGCTGAGGACTGGGGTAAAGTCATTTTCTCTGATTAATCCCCTTTCCGATTGTTTGGGGCATCCAGAAAAAAGCTTGTCCGGAGAAGACAAGGTGAGCGCTACCATCAGTCCTGTGTCATGCCAACATTAAAGCATCCTGAGACCATTCATGTGTGGGGTTGCTTCTCAGCCAAGGGAGTGGGCTCACTCACAATTTTGCCTAATAACACAGCCATGAATAAAGAATGGTACCAACACATCCTCCGAGAGCAACTTCTCCCAACCTTCCAAGAAGAGTTTGGTGACGAACAATGCCTTTTCCAGCATGATGGACCACCTTGCCATAAGGCAAAAGTGATAACTAAGTGGCTCGGGGAACAGAACATCTACATTTTGGGTCCATGGCCAGGAAACTCCCCAGACCTTCATCCCATTGAGAACTTGTGGTTGATCCTCAAGAGGCGGGTGGACGAACAAAAACCCACAAATTCGGACAAACTCCAAGCATTGATTATGCAAGAATGGGCTGCCATCAGTCAGGATGTGGCCCAGAAGTTAATTGACAGCATGCCAGGGCGGATTGCAGAGGTCTTGAAAAAGAAGGGTCAACACTGCAAATATTGACTCTTTGCATAAACTTAATGTTATTGTTAATAAAAGCCTTTGACACTTATGGAGTGCTTGTAATTATACTTCAGTATACCATAGTAACATCTGACAAAAATATCTAAAAACACTGAAGCAGCATAATTTGTGAAGACCAATACTTGTGTCATTCTCAAAACTTTTGACCACGACTGTACATACTTTGAGAGATCTACTTTGTGCCTCGAGCACACAGGACGCCTTGGGTTCACTAATCTAGATTTAGTTATGAGAGAAACGACCGTTTTCTGTGGGTGTCTGCTAAAATGGTGGCTTTTCCGCACAAGCTTGGCTGTTGACCTTTAATTATATTCTAAATATTGACACAGTGAATCATTGGCACTGGCCAGGGCAGCATTAAAGTCACTCAACAGTTTTGCACTACTCATCATACTCATGTGTCTGATTCTAAAGTATCATGAGACAATGTCTTATTGAGAAATAACTGTTTATCTGCCATAGTTCTAAAGTGTGGCCAGGGAAGCCGTCTACGTGTTCAGCACAATGTTGGACCTTCAAATTATGAACGAAACATTTTTTAACATGCCTAAACATTTAAATCTTGAACGTAATCCACGTGATGGGATTGACTAAAGAAACGCATCCAAAGACCCAACTCACACATAAGACAATTTTTTATTACAGGATGGTGGTATTTCACTGTACAGGACATACATATTTACAGCCCAGGGAGTCGGGCTTATGTACATTGAAAAGAGAGGTATAGCATACAGTATTATTTCTAACGTATAAATTATCAATAAATACTGGAACGGAAGAGACCGCTTCCCAGGGGTTCTCGATTCAGGACAAGCAAAGAAAAAAGGGACAACCCCAAAGGTTTAGAGGAGGGAAATGATATGACCATACAGACCATAATATGACCATAATTAGAACGATTGCATCACTGCACAGCCAGACATAGAACATAAAACACAACTCGGATATCCACACGGGACTGAGCGGGAGAGAACATGACTAGGCCAAAGAGTTTCTCCTGACCCAGGGACTTGACCAGGAAGAAGACTGGGTCCTACTTATTATACCCTAGGTATTCCCCGAATCCCAAATAAACCCTTAGTCCCTACCTCCTATTCACTTGTGCAGACTTAAGAGGATAGGTATAAGCAATTGGCGACAATTCCACCTGGCCCGTCAGAGGGCAAAACTGAGCTATCACCATATTGCTTATTGACCTATCCAATCATCTCAGATCTACACAAGTGCCCACGGGGGTAGGGGCTAGCGGTTGAGTTGAGTTTCAGGATATAACATGGTCAGGAAAAACTAGAGGCCCTAAACATTACCGGCAGGTTTCTTGGACCCAGATTGAGTTTCCTCCTGAACTAAAAAGTACTTTCGAGGTAGATTCTCCATTAAGTGTGCTTTTCTAATCCAGAAGGAGGCTTAATCTGGGTCCGGGAAACTACATTCACCGAGGAGAATAATCTTAAGGCAGTGTTCATTGTTTGAAAAATGTGACAGATCTACTGTAAATCTACTTGACACCAAAGAGTGCCGAGACGTGCTCCACACACCCCGAGACCTGCCTGATATGTGACAGTTTGTAGATTATTTAAGGCATGGTTGAGTTGGGCTTTTCCCTACAATACATAAGTGTTGTTCAGTAGGTGGGAAACATTTTGAAACGGGAGACTACCTGAATCTCCGATTAGAACAAAGACCTTTGTTTTGCCTTGCAAAACAATTCGCTACGGTGAGCCCTACTGAACACGACCATTGGGAGCCCTTCGCGCTCTAACATTGGACGTCTGGTGACAAAGCAGGGTCGTCGCTTTCGTCTAGTTTACCAGCCCCGCATTCAACCTAGGTAGTTGAAATTGTAATTGTTATCTGTATAAAAAGGACAGGGATGAGGAGAGCCATACAGAGAAAGAGAAATTACACATGCACCTGGGAAAAGGCTGGAGGTTGTTGGTTCGATTCATTGGAGTGATTGGTTGATTGTCATTGCTTATGCTTGTAGTTCAGACCTCTTCCAGTCTTTCATATTACCTGGCATCCCATGTCATTTTCAGAAACATCCTGGTTCAAACACATTCGAACTCTGGGACAACATATTCAGTACAACGCATATAAGAAATAAATAGATGCATATTTCAATACAAAAACTCAGTCTGTTCCATCAGTCTTTTCCATGATCCAGTCAGTGGAAACTATGGAAACTATAGTCTATCACTCTGACCACTCATACGTTGGGCATCTCAAAAGACACCTCCTAGTATCCCCCATGCACTACATTACCTCTTGACCAGAGGCCTATGAAGCTCTGGCCAAAAATAGTGCACTATATGAGGAATAGGGTGTCAATCGAGATGCAGCCTTGCTAGTTTCTACATCTTCTGTGACTTGGCTAACGAGCTTCTGAAATGTATCAACGTTTTAAAAAGTCTAAATGGTCAAACGTTAATTGGTGGAGTTTGGTGCTGGTTTGTTGCTAAGGCATCCTGGGTAGTTGAGTTTTTCTATTGGCAGGCTTTGTTCCTGGTAGTCAGCCCGACTGGATTCCCTGCAATCTCTCCTGACTTTCCCCTCTCAACTGACGTCATTGAACACCCCTCCCCTGTGGTGATAGTGGTTTGGCCTCCCCCGTTTGCAGTTCAGTTGGTTGCTACTGGACATGAATGCTGCAGAGCTGGTGTGTGAAGAAAGGCACTGTGTTAAATCTGATTGGTTGACTAAACTCAAATCCATATTTGAGTATAGAGGTTAAGGTGAGTTGTTGGTCCCCTTGGGTTCAAGCTGTTCAAGGCTTGGTCAGGCTTGGGAGGTGTGGGTACAGCATGGCTGGGTACAGTCAGTTTGGGTAGAGAGTCCGGTGCAGCACACACAGGCGTACAGGAGAGAGCCTAGGCTTCGCTGGCAGTGCTGCTGCTGCGACTCAACTCTCTGATACCCTGGAGGATACGCTTCATGTGGCCAACCTTCGTCACCCCCAAGTCCTGCAATGGACGGACACACACACACACAAATTAGAACAAACACCAAGACACACGTGGACCCATGTACCATGTAGGGTCAGGACTTTTTCCAGACGTCACCTGGCAGGGAAAACCCCAAGCTCTATAAATACCTTAAATCAATAGCCAGGGAATAAAATCAAAACACCCATGAGCCCCAGAGTAGCGAAACATAAGAAAGCTCTACCTGGCACCTGAAAGAATGGGTATGTCCAATAATATCTCCTTTCACATGACGTGTGCACTCGTTCACAGTGTTGGGGAAGCTACTCTGAAAATATAGTTTACATTTTACATTTTAGTCATTTAGCAGACTACACTAAAGCTACCCTTAAAGAAACAAAGTTTACTTAACTAAAGTTACTTTGAAAAAGTAGTAAACTACATCCAAACTATGCTGAACAAAAAATTTTACGCAACAATTTAAAAGATTTGACTGAGTTACAGTTCATATAAGGAAATCAGTCAATTGAAATAAATTCATTAAGCCCTAATCTATGGATTTCACATGACTGGGAATACAGATATGCATCTGTTGGTCACAGATACCAACAACAACAAAAAGTATGGCCGTGGATCAGAAAATCAGTCAGTGTCTGGTGTGACCACCATTTGCCTCATGCTACGCGACATCTCCTTCGCATAGAGTTGATCAGGCTGTTGATTGTGGCCTGTGGAATGTTGTCCCAATCCTCTTCAATGGCTGTGCGAAGTTGCTGTATATTGGCAGGAACTGGAACACACTGTCGTATACGTCGATCCAGAGCATCCCAAACATGCTCAATGGGTGACATGTCAGGTGAGTATGCAGGCCATGGAAGAACTGGGACATTTTCAGCTTACAGGAATTTTGTACAGATCCTTGCGACATGGGTCCGTGCATTGACGTGCTGAAACATGAGGTGATGGCAGAGGATGAATGGCATGACAATGGGCCTCAGGATCTCGTCATGGCATCTATGTGCATTCAAATTGCCATCAATAAAATGCGATTGTGTTCGTTGTCCGTAGCTTATGCCTGCCCATACCATAACCCCACCGCCACCATGGGGCACTCTGTTCACAACGTTGACATCAGCAAAACACTCGCCCCACAACGCCATACAAGTGGTTTGCGGTTGTGAGGCCGGTTGGACGTACTGCCAAATTCTCTAAAACGATGTTAGAGGCGGCTTATGGTAGAGAAATTACCATTCAATTCTCTGGCAACAGCTCTGGTGGACATTCCTGCAGTCAGCATGCTAATTGCACGCTCCCTCAAAACTTGAGACATCTGTGGCATGGTGTTGTGTGACATAACTGCACATTTTAGAGTGGCCTTTTTTTTCCCCCAGCACAAGGTACACCTGTGTAATGATCATGCTGTTTAATCAGCTTCTTGATATGCCACACCTGTCAGGTGGATAGATTATCTTGGCAAAGGAGAAATGCTACCTAACAGGAATGTAAACAAATTTGTGCACAACATTTGAGAGAAATGGAAAATTGCGTATGGGAAATTTCTGGAAACTTTTACTTCAGCTCATGAAACATGGGACCCAACACTTTACATGTTGCGTTTATTTTTATTTTTGTTCAGTATACTTTGTGAAAAATTATCATATCGAAAATGTCATAGATTACAAATTGCACTCTGGAATCAGATGCTAACATAATGTGTAATTTAGCCTTTTAAACCCAAAACGAATGTTTCAAGTGAAAATTAGGCAGGTCTGATGCCAAAAAAGAAAGGACATCTTGCCCACTTCACCCATATTTTCTGTTCTTTTTGCAAAAAAATAAGTGTGTAGTTCCAGTAGTTAGCTACACCGCAAAATGGCAAAAAACTACTGAAAACACTACCAATATTTGAATTTAGTTCAACTACCACCAAGCTACAGAAAAATGTAATGAAATTACTAGTTGAACTACATTTAGTTCTCTACTCCCCATCACTGCTCTTTCACTACTTCCCACAAACCTAAAAGCATTGGATTGGTTGGAGGCATGGGCTAGTGGGAGTTTCTTATGCCACACTCATTTCCTTTCAAATCAGTGAAGGGAAGTAAACAAGTGCACACTTTGGGAGGAAGGAGAGATATCTGGGACAGCCTGTGTGTGTGTGCAGTACCTTGAGGTCCCTCCTCTCCAGGTGCAGCAGCTCGGCGCCGCGCACGTCGTGCCCAATAAAGATCTCCTTGTACTCGGTGAGACAGATGAGCTCCAGCCAGGTGGCTACCTCCTCTGTGCCCCACTGGTGCACTGCAGAAAGCAAGACCCCCTTCAGACCCCCAACCACACCACAGAGAGACGCCACAACCCTGGTACAGCACTTAACCGCAGCTCTAGGATCAGATGAACCTACCGTCAATCCTAACGTTGACCATTAGGGGGATGAAAAAATATATGACCCTGTATCAGTGGTTAAGGGGAACTTCGACCTACTCCAGTCCAGACCATAAACACACTGGGTCAGGGTAAGATTAGGTTGTCAGAAGATGCTGATCTAAGGTCAGTTTTTTTTACTTTTAATGGTTAAAGTTAAGATCAGGGCAGGGTAAGCTGACCATAGATGCCATAGATCTGTGTATACGGGTAGACTTCTACCTGGAGCCACTGGGCCAGGAGCTCTGCTTATGATAGCCAATCAGAGCGAAGGTCTTTGATCGGTTAACCAATCAGAAGAGAGATCGGTGGTGTGTGGAAGGTTGTGGCGACCTCAGAAAGAATTGAACGTGATTTTCAAAGAGTGTTGACACTGATTTGTCATCGTCCAAAGATGATTTAACCCAGAGTGTTCCAGACTAATTGCTGTGAGAGAGAGATTGGGAGAAAAAGAGAGGTAGATAGTACCTGGCAGTGTGAGAGTGGCACAGGCCTCCTTGTTCTTGTTGTTTTTGTCCTTCTTGAACTTGGGGACGAGACGGAACTTGGCACTGCGGCTACGCTTGGAGAAATCTGTCAGGTGTCCCTGCAGAAACAGACAGGTTAGAGAGAAAGACAGCCAGGTTAGACAGACAAGACAGATAGGTTAGAGAGAAAAACAGCCAGACAGACAGGTTAGACATTGGGTGATACAGACTGTCCAGTACTATAGACCCACAGAGTTGAACAGTTTTACTCTAGCCTAGCACTAACACACCGACCTGATTCAATTAATAAATCATCAAGACCTTGATTAGGCAGCCCTTTACACTCGTACCCGTATACGCGTTGAAAATGGCAGATTTAGACACTGATAAGCACCTAAATTGGAACAAAGTGGCTGTACAGTAACATGCTATACATGATGTCAGAGCTCAGGGTCTCCGCTTCACAGCTCTGTATGGGTTTTGACTGACAGCCTTTCTGAACTTGAGCACCGTGCGACAAGAAGTGGCCCCCATCCCTCCCGCTAATTGGGCAATTTTACCACATTTATTGTTGTCTAAATGAGGGAAATGCTGTAAATTACGAGGACTTGAAAGATGAGACGTTGTGGATTATAATAAATCCTGCTTTGATGTCCTACAAGCAAGCCAAACACCTGTTAGTCCAAATGTGCACTTCACATTTCCATATCATAAAACTCATTCAATATACTGTGTCAAAAGTTTATGATCAATTTGTTTGATGTACAGTTACAAGATGACATGGCGTTATACCCTGGGTTGTCCAGAATAGAATGAGGCTGTTTGCTGTATTCTGACGAAAATGTTCCACGGACCACGCATCTGAATGCACTCCATTCTATGCGCACCAGAATTACGATCTGCTTCTCTGAATTGCCTAGTGAGATCGTATTTGATAATTGAGCTAGTCATGTTGGCAATAGAACAAGCAAACAAATTATGCCCACCTGACCGATTGCAATTTATAATGGACCTTTTTTGGACTGCGTAAACAACAACAGTAATTGTGTAAAGACAGGGATGCAGGGCTGTGTTCCAAAGAAAACAACTACAAGTGTGATCGCTATAGTTCCTCAACGGCACAGCTAGGAGAGCTCAAAACAGCACCTTATAGTTGAAGACTGTTCTTTGAGTCATAAAAGTGCATTGAAATTACTTTGGAGAGGTGTGTGGCCACTTGGAATCACCAGTTAGACCTCTCACTCAAACCCTTGTCATTTGTTTGTCCTATGTTGCACCTACCCCAAATGTTCTTATTATTTTACTGAATGTATCCAGAGTATTTTCAGATTTCGTCATGAACAAATGTGGCGAAAAGTACAGCAAATGTAAAAAGTACAGTAAATGTAAAATGCACATAAAATCAACAGTATAATGTTTGGATTCAGTCTTGTGTCAGGTGAACTGTTGTGCCATCACCTTTAGTCTAATAATTTCCCCATAATCTCCAAACTGTTCCCTTTTAATTGTTACCATGGTTATAGATGTTTTCCATATTTCCACTTCAGTAAGAAACATTTCAATGTAGCCCTATCCATACAGGCCAATTCCCCACAAGTGTAAGGGGTTAAATCAGGTGTGGTATTACTGGACAGGGACTAAAATGTACTGCCCTGTGGGTCCCTAGGACTAAGATTGAAAAACACTGAGGTAAGTGGCTGGTGTGAATAGTGTGTGTGGTAGCATCTAGATCTACCTCATCATCCCCAGGTTCGATGAGCTGACCCAGCCAGGGTATGTCTGGCAGTCTGAGTAGCTGCTGGGCCACAGTGCCCAGGGCTCCAGTCAACTGCTCCTTCTGAGGAGGGTCCAACTGCTGGGAAGACATTCTCAGTTACAAAAACATATGTAGACTGACACACTGACAGGCAGGCAGACAACAGCTTTGAGACTTACCAGGCACATCTTGCCTGCCAGTAGCAGCTCTGTCTCACTGTGAAGGGCCTTGACGTTACTGACCATCTGAACCACAACACTGCAGTTCAGACCCTGCGTAGAACAGACATTAACACATAACATATGTACACACACCACAGATGCATTTCGTTAACCACAGAAGCGGGGGGACAATGTGCATTGTACAGTGGGGATAACAAGTATTTGATACACTGCCGATTTTGCAGGTTTTCCTACTTACAAAGCATGTAGAGGTCTGTCATTTTTATCATAAGTACACTTCAACTGTGAGAGACTGAATCTAAAACAAAAATCCAGAAAATCACATTGTATGATTTTAAACTAATTAATTTGCATTTTATTGCATGACATAAGTATTTGATACATCAGAAAAGCAGAACTTAATATTTGGTACAGAAACCTTTGTTTGCAATTACAGAGATCATACGTTTCCTGTAGGTCTTGACCAGGTTTGCACACACTGCAGCAGGGATTTTGGCCCACTCCTCCATACCTTCTCCAGATCCTTCAGGTTTCGGGGCTGTCGCTGGGCAATACGGACTTTCAGCTCCCTCCAAAGATGTTCTATTGGGTTCAGGTCTGGAGACTGGCTAGGCCACTCCAGGACCTTGAGATGCTTCTTACGGAGCCACTCCTTAGTTGCCCTGGCTGTGTGTTTTGGGTCGTTGTCATGCTGGAAGACCCAGCCACGACCCATTTTCAATGCTCTTACTGAGGGAAGGAGGTTGTTGGCCAAGATCTCGCGATACATGGCCCCATCCATCCTCCCCTCAATACGGTGCAGTCGTCCTGTCCCCTTTGCAGAAAAGCATCCGACAAAGAATGATGTTTTCACCTCCATGCTTCACAGTTGGGATGGTGTTCTTGGGGTTGTACTCATCCTTCTTCTTCCTCCAAACACGGCGAGTGGAGTTTAGACCAAAAAGCTCTATTTTTGTCTTATCAGACCACATGACCTTCTCCCATTCCTCCTCTGGATCATCCAGATGGTCATTGGCAAACTTCAGACGGGCCTGGACATGCGCTGGCTTGAGCAGGGGGACCTTGTGTGCGCTGCAGAATTTAAATCCATGACGGCGTAGTGTGTTACTAATGGTTTTCTTTGAGACGGTGGTCCCAGCTCTCTTCAGGTCATGACCAGGTCCTGCCGTGTAGTTCTGGGGTGATCTCTCACCTTCCTCATGATCATTGATGCCCCACAAGGTGAGATCTTGCATGGAGCCCCAGACCGAGGATGATTGACCGTCATCTTGAACTTCTTCCATTTTCTAATAATTGCCCCAACAGTTGTTGCCTTCTCACCAAGCTGCTCCAAATATTAAGTTCTGCTTTTCTGATGTATCAAATACTTATGTCATGCAATAAAATGCAAATTAATTACTTAAAAATCATACAATGTGATTTTCTGGATTTTTGTTTTAGATTCCGTCTCTCACAGTTGAAGTGTACCTATGATAAAAATTAAAGACCTCTACATGCTTTGTAAGTAGGAAAACCTGCAAAATCGGCAGTGTATCAAATACTTGTTCTCCCCACTGTAGTATACTGACCCTAACATTAACCTTCCTACCCGATGTCTTGTTTTGACTTTGTTCCAGATTTCAGAAGGACTTTGGGCCACACCTCTGGTGTTTTCCTGCGGGGCACCCCCCTCCATGTTTTTTTGCGCCATAAAAAACATATTTTCTTGAAAAAAGTGGTAGGCCTACATTTAAATATAGATTTTCATTGCATTTCAAATGTTATGATTACTTACAAAATTAACATCCAACTGGAGATCCTAATGTTGTATTTTTGCGTTAATGCTTTTATTTGACCACTAGAGAGCAGCCTCTTATAGGCTGAGGAACATTGATGAAGTTTGCCAATGAACATCTGAATGATTCAGGGGAGAACTGGGTGAAAGTGTTGTGGTCAGATGAGACCGAAATCGAGCTCTTTGGCATCAACTCAACTCGCCGTGTTTGGAGGAGGAGGAATGCTGCCTATGACCCCAAGAACACCATCCCCACCGTCAAACCTGGAGGTGGAAACATTATGCTTTGGGGGTGTTTTTCTGCTAAGGGGACATGACAACTTCACCGCATCAAAGGGACGATGGACGGGGCCATGTACCGTCAAATCTTGGGTGAGAACCTCCTTCCCTCAGCCAGGGCATTGCAAATGGGTCGTGGATAAGTATTCCAGCATGACAATGACCCAAAACACACGGCCAAGGCAACAAAGGAGTGGCTCAAGAAGAAGCACATTAAGGTCCTGGAGTGGCCTAGCCAGTCTCCAGATCTTAATCCCATAGAAAATCTGTGGAGGGAGCTGAAGGTTCGAGTTGCCAAACGTCAGCCTCGAAACCTTAATGACTTGGAGAAGATCTGCAAAGAGGAGTGGGACAAAATCCCTCCTGAGATGTGTGCAAACCTGGTGGCCAACTACAAGAAACGTCTGACCTCTGTGATTGCCAACAAGAGTTTTGCCACCAAGTACTAAGTCATGTTTTGCAGAGGGGTCAAATACTTATTTCCCTCATTAAAATGCAAATCAATTTCTAACATTTTTTACATGCGTTTTTCTGGATTTTTTTGTTGTTATTCTGTCTCTCACTGTTCAAATAAACCTACCATTAAAATTATAGACTGATCATGTCTTTGTCAGTGGGCAATCGTACAAAATCAGCAGGGGATCAAATACTTTTTTCCCTCACTGTATACGCAGGTCATTGGGGGAAGAATGCAAGGTCATATCCATCACTTTACCATAAGGGCTCTGCTAGAGTGGACATATCATGGAATATGATCAATAATTCCAAAATCAACATTTCTCTCTTCACTTTACTGTATCCTCTGTAACCTATAACTCACCTTGCTCTAACATAGGGGACTGAGTGGCGCAGCGGTCTAAGGTACTGCATCGCAGTGCTAGTGGCGTCACTACAGACTCGGGTTCGATCCCGGGCTGTATCACAACCGGCCGTGATCGGGAATCCCATAGGGCGGCGCACAATTGGCCCAGCGTCGTCCGGGTTAGGGGAGGGTTTGGCCAGGGTAGGCCGTCATTGTAAATTAGAATTGGTTCTTAACTGACTTTCCTGGTTAAATAAAAATATATATTTTTTAAAACATACAGTTGCGGCCAAATATATTGGCACTCTTGCAATTTCTTAAATAATTCCCTATTTCTTCTAGAATAAGTTGAAATTGAAAAACTATAGAACCAATTATATTATTGTAAACTTAAGTTCATAATTTTAATTAACAAATTAATGACAAATGGCATGGACAAAATTATTGGCACCCCGAAGCTAGTACTTGGTTGAACAGCCTTTGGCTAAGATACACTATATATACAAAATTATGTGGACACCCCTTCAAATTAGTGGATTCGGCTATTTCAGCCACACCCGTTGCTGACAGGTGTATAAAATCGAGCACACAGCCATGCAATCCCCATAGACAAACATTGGCAGTAGAATGGCCTTACTTAAGAGCTCAGTGACTTTCAACGTGGCACGGTCATAGGATGCCACCTTTCCAACAAGTCAGTTCATCAAATGTCTGCCCTGCTAGAGCTGCACTGTAAGTGCTGTTATTGTGAAGTGGAAACGTCTAGGAGTAACACCGGTTCAGCCGCGAAGTGGTAGGCCACACAAGCTCACAGAATGGGACTGCCGAGTGCTGAAGCGCGTAGTGCGTAAAAATCGTCTGTCCTCGGTTGATACACTCACTACCAAGTTCCAAACTGTCTCTGGAAGCAACGTCAGCACAAGAACTGTTCGTCAGGAGCTTCATGAAATGGGTTTCCATGGCTGAGCAGCCGCACACAAGCCTAAGATCACCATGCGCAATGCCAAGCGTCGGCTGGAGTGGTTTAAAGCTTGCCGCCATTGGACTCTGGAGCAGTGGAAACGCGTTGTCTGGAATGATGAATCACGCGTCACCATCTGGCAGTCCGACGGACGAATCTGGGTTTGGCAGATGCCAGGAGAACGCTACCTGCCCCAATGCATAGTACCAACTGTAAAGTTTGGTGGAGGAGGATTAATGGTCTGGGGCTGTTTTTCATGGTTCGGGCTAAGCCCGTTACCTTCAGTGAAGGGAAATCTTAATGCTACAGCATACAATGACATTCTAGAGGATTATGTTATAGCAGTAAAGGGGGGACCAACTCTATATTAATGGTCATGATTTTGGAATGAGCTGTTCGACGAGTCCACATACTTTTGTCAATGTATTGTAACTGCCAACAAACACTTCTTGTAGCCATCAAATGAGCTTGCTGCAGCTTTCTACTGGCTTTCTACAGCAAAGAGTCCAGATCTGAAACATCCAAAACCTATGGTGAGATCTGAAAACCGCACTTGGTGGCGGGCACCACTCAAATTGTGGCTTATGGTATTATAATATAAGACATGGGCACGTGACTGAAAGTGGGGGTGCAATTTTATTTTATATTAAACATTTTAAAATTAAGGCCTCCCGAGTGGCGCAGCGGTCTAAGGCACTGCATCGCAGTTCTAGAGGTGTCAACCGGCTGTGATCGGGAGTCCCATAGGGCGGCGCACAATTGTCCGGGTTAGGGGATGGTTTGGCCGGAGGGGGCTTTACTTGGCTCATCGCGCTCTAGCGACTCCTTGTGGCGGGCTGGGCGCCTACAGGCTGACCTCGGTCGTCAGTTGAACTCTGTTTCCTCCGTCACATTGGTGCGGCTGGCCTCCCGGTTAAGCGGGCGGGTGTTAAGTAGCGCGGTTTGGCGGGTCATGTTTCGGAGGACGCATGACTCAACCTTCACCTCCTGAGCCCGTTGGGGAGTTGCAGCAATGAGACAATATCGAAATTGGGGAGAAAAAGGAGGTAATAAACTAAAAAACTAAAACCAATTTTTAAATAAAATAAAATAAAATGTCTAAACAATTTCCTTCAATTCTACACTGTTTCTTCACAGGGGGAATCCATATGTATCACAACTAAATGTCTTAGGTTCTGCCACAATAAATTATATTGAACTCATGAACTCAAATGAAAAACTAGATATATTTTTAGAACACAAGGCCAGATTATAATTTTTTTTGCATTTAACTAGGCCTGCAAGAAATGTGGCAAAGCAATTCACTTTTTGTCCTGAATACAAAGTGTTATGTTTGAGGCAAATCCAATGCAACACATTACTGAGTACCAATCTCTATTTTCAAGCATAGTGATGGCTGCATCATGTTATGGGTATGCTTGTAATCATTAAGGACTGGGGAGTTTTTCAGGATAAAAAAGAAACGGAATGGAGCCAAGCACAGGCAAAATCCTAGAGGAAAACATGCTTCTGTCTGCTTTCCACCAGACACTGGGAGGTGAATTCACCTTTCAGCAGGACAATAACCTAAAACACAAGGCCAAATCTACACTGGAGTTGCTTACCAAGAAGATAGTGAATGTTCCTGAGTGGCCTAGTTACAGTTTTTACTTAAATCTACTTGAAAATCTATGGCAAGACCTGCAAATTGTTGTCTAGCAATGATCAACAAACAATTTGACAAAGTTTGAAGAATTTTGAAAATAATAAATGGGCAAATGTTGCACAATCTTACCCAGAAAGACTCACAGCTGTCATCGCTGCCAAAAGTGATTCTACAAAGTATTGGCTCAGGGGTGTGAATACTTATGTAAATGTCATATTTCTGTATTTCATTTTCAATACATTTGCAAAAATGTCAAAAAACATGTTTTCACTTTGTCATTATGGGCATTGTGTGTAGATGGGTGATTTTTGTATTTATTTAATCTATTTTGAATTCAGGCTGTAACCCAACAAAATGTGGAATATGTCAAGGGGTATGAATACCGTATGAGCCAAAAAAGACTGGCACTCAGCTGCATTTGGCACGCGGGCCGTATGTTGGGCACCCCTGTACTACTAGAAGTTGGTTGACTAGTATAAAATAAAGGTAGAACAGGAGCCGCACATACCCCTGTGCTCTTGGAGTTGGCGTAGACCACGTCCATGGCCTTTGAGCTTGCGTTGACGGCATGGGCCAGCTCCTGCTCCATACTGGGGTGGGACTGGGCGATCTCTCGGATACTGGGAACACACACACAGTTCGTGATGACCTCTAACAACTAATGTTACTGGGAAACTACACTGCAAGCATATCACAAGCATTCCGTAAGTGCTGTTTTTGGCATGCTACGCCAGAAGCAGCAAACGGTGCATCGGAGTGTCTGGTATAGTTTGGCCGTTAGATAACCCACGAGGGCATTGTATATCATGGTCATGGACAAATCCATTTTGATGATCTGAAATTCCAATTTGAGAAAAAATAATATTTTCAAGAATGTTTTTTTCAATCTAAATGGAATTTAACCCTACCCTGCTTTAATCTAATGCTATTATTAATTAATATAATGTTATCTTACCTGTGGATGAGGGCGCCGGCCGCCTGGCCAAACAGGTTGATCTGGGAGGCTTCTTCCTCGGATACGATCTCCGGCTGCAATGCATACTGGGGCAGGGGACGGGGGAACTCGCACCTCTGCTTGTCTTCCCACGACTTCAGCGTGCTCTCAAAGGCCTGGGACAAGCAGGCAACAGGTTAAATAGAATAGAATAGGATAGAATAGAATAGTTGTATTCTTCCCAAGGGAACTACAGTTGTGGCAAGTCAGATGCGATATGTCAAGTTAATATATGACTGCAATATAACGGCAACATTTACACAAGATAGATACAAATACTGTACAAACAAATCATGTCAATTACAACTGCAGAACATGATAAGGAGAACCTGTACCTTTTCTGATAATTTGCACTTTAATGTAATATATACAGTAGCATATTCACAGAATGAGCCTCAATGTCAGGTTGAATGCCAATGTTTGGATGCCGTGTATTTCCGGACCACGACTGGACCTGGAAAAACTGGATCTTACTTGGTCAGGCAAAACTCAAGGCCCTAGAAATAAGGAATCTGTGTAACCCCACAGATGTGTACTCACTCGGTCTCTGGTGAGGGTCTGGGTGCGGTTCTTGTGGATAATCTTGATATACCCAGGGGGCTGGACCCAGGCCTCTCCGTCCACCTGCACCGGCACCCCCTCATCCCCGAGGATGGTGATCTTCACTGTACGACACTGCAACAGGAGAACAGACGGGGAGAAAGATTCAACCAGACAGTACGCTATGAAACCACGAAAGAGACTGGTCATTTGCTATCTATGTCCATATTCATGGTCATACGCTCATGATTAAAAACATAAGTACTGGGCTAATAAAGTATACAGAAAGGCCTGCACACTGTATATGCTTCCATTTACAACCCAAATTACAAAATTACATATTGGTCTCCTTACACTATAAGCAGTTTATGGACAAGGTATGACAGCAATCGATGATTTGCTTTTGCTTTTTTTTATTTTACTAGGCAAGTCAGTTAAGAACAAATTCTTATTTACAATGATGGCCTACACCGGCCAAACCCGGACGGCGCTGGGCCAATTGTGCGCCGCCCTATGGGACTCCCAATCACGGCCGGTTGTGATACAGCCTGGAATCGACCCGGGGGTCTGTAGTGACGCCTCAAGCACTGAGATGCAGTGCCTTAGACCGCTGCGCCACTCGGGAGCCTGGTCACTGTTTCCAAAAGCACATTTTTTAGCATTTGTGGCACAGTCAGTGGTACAATACTGTGGAGTGTACGGCTTAAAGTGGTCCTATGGACAGATACTCCAATCTCCGCTGTGGTGCTTTGCAGCTCCTTCAGGGTTATCTTTGGTCTCTTTGTTGCCTCTCTGATTAATGCCCTTCTTGCCTGGTCTGTGAGTTTTGGTGGGCGGCCCTCTCTTGGCAGGTTTGTTGTGGTGCCATATTCTTTCAATTTTTTAATAATGGATTTAATGGTGCTCTGTGGGATGTTTATAACCTAACCTTGATCTGTACTTCTCCACAACTTTGTCCCTGACCTGTTTGGAGAGCTCCTTGGTCTTCATGGTGCCGCTTGCTTGGTGGTGACCCTTGCTTAGTGGTGTTGCAGACTCTGGGGCCTTTCAGAACAGGTGTATATATACTGAGATCATGTGACAGATCATGTGACACTTAAGATTGCACACAGGTGAACTTTATTTAACTAATTATGTGACGTCTGAAGGTAATTGGTTGCACCAGATCTTATTTAGGGGCTTCATAGCAAAGGGGGTGAATACATATGCACACACCACTTTTCCGTTATTTATTTGTTATAATTTTTTGAAACAAGTAATTTTTTTCATTTCACTTCACCAATTTGGACTATTTTGTGTACATGAAATCAAAATCAAAATCAAAATAGGAAAAAACGCCAAGGGGGATGAATACTTTTGCTAGGACTGTATGTAGGCCTATGTACTTCTGTACTAAAACATCCGTTAATACAAAAATACAAATATGGGCAGAATATTGTATGAACTATTTGGATGGTTAAAGGCCAACATTTGGTCGTTTAAATTAAATCTGGTCATGTCAATTCAAATGTGACTCGTTCCATTCTCGTTCCATTCTCAATTATTTTGTTGATTTAATATCCTGTCCTTTATTTACGATTATTATCGTTTTAAATAATGTATTTTTTTCCTGAAGAACACACAAACCTCTACTCTCATTCAAATTAGTTTTGATCACCAATTAACTATTATGAGAGTTTGGGCTGGCTATTGTCCAATTTAATGGCTCATCAAGGCGTGAACTGTGACCAATGTCCAACATTGCTGTAAGCCCAGTACTGTATCTAAAAACAAAAAACACAGCATCTGCATCTACAGTAGTAGAAATATATTATCGAATTAGATTTTTTAAAAGACTGTTTCAAAGTGCAGATGTTTATTAGGCTACTGTACAGTGTGACAAAAAACAACAGGACAATGACATTTTTACTGTAACCTAATTCCTTAGATAAGGGAGAGAAGCCATGTCTGGACTTCCTCGGCGACCTCAAGTACTCATTTATTGTTTTTTGGGGTTGCATCGCTCATGGGAGGGAAACATCTGAGACACAGTATTCATGATGAACACTCAGAGGTTAACTTGTAAGTCAAATTTGCCTTGGGATCCATCCCAGTTGGTATTCTGTGTCCACTCGTGGTATTTCTCGTCGGTTACACATCCTTGGAATAGCAGAACAGCATAACGGTCTGGATGGCCATTGCTGTGCCTGGTGAGCAGTTCATCAAGTTCTGGTGTCAGATGAGGAATGGAAATGTCAGGGTGAACCGACGACCTGACGAATCCGCCACGGTTGTTGCCTCTGCCTGTCAGAGGTGGAGTTTCAGAGATCAAAGGTGTGCCTGACATGGATTGTGACTCCAAAATCTCATCCCTTCAACACTTCATTCTCCGCCCCGCCAATGTGGCCTGGCACTCCGTCAATGCCGCCTGGCTCTGGACCAATGCGTCAGCTGTCGCCCATATCTCTGCCCTCAGAGAATGTTTATCTTTCTGCTGGTCTGACTTCAAATTACTCAAATAACTCTACATGTAGGTCCCTGAACAATTTATGGTTTATGTTCTCTCCCAGCTTCATGGTTTGAAAGAGGCGCGTAATTCCAGTCCATATAATAGGCCTACAGTGGGCTATGCATAGCCAAAATCACGGATACCATCCAATAATCTATTTAAGTCCTGCCCCCCAGCCCTGCCTCTTTTGTGGTTCACTGTCGGGACCACCTTTGGACTAGTATATGGCAGAGGTCTGACTCTCTGCCAATGCGGCCTGGCACCGTCAATGCCGCCTGGCTCCGGATAAATGCATTAGCCGTTGCCCGTATCCCTGCCCTTCAATGACTCGATCTCAGTCTTCAAAGCTTTAATCTGATGAGTGGAATCAGATGAGTGGAATGGTACTGCCCTGAGTCCCCAATCTTTGCTGTGCTAAAGACTTTAAAACCTTTTTTCGTTAGAACAGACTATCTGGGATTGATGATCATTTGTTCGCCTTCTTTTCGCCTTCTTTCTTCAATATAATCAAATCGAATTGTATTTGTCACACGCGCCGAATGCAACAGGTGTAGGACCTTACCGTGAAATGCTTACTTACAAGCCCTTAACCAACAATGCAGTTTTAAGAAAAATACTAAATAAACTAAAGTAAAAAAAAGTAAAACAATAAAATAGCAATAACGAGGCTATATACAGGTGGTACCGGTACCGAGTCAATGTGCGGGGTACAGGTCATTCGAGGTAATTGAGGTAATATACAATATGTAATTCAGCAGGTTAAACCCATTCATTCAGAAGGTTAAAAACGTACTCCTAAACCTTGCTCAGATGACTGACTGCAGCATATCGGTAGCCTAAACTGTGGCACAAATTGGCTGATTTTTCACACCTAGCCAAGCTATAAGCCTAACCTTTTGTAAATGAATGGAGGTGTGAATGTTTCTGTCCGAGAATGTCTCTCCTCTCCCACTAGAGTCCTGCATCGGGCAAATAAATCAGGTGGTCCCGGAGTTGAAAGAGAACTTGGGTAAATACAATCGTGTGGACTGACAAAAAATAGGATACTTGTGCCTTACAGCCCCTTACATAAACAAAGAGTGAGTGCGCGTGTAGAGAGTGCTATCCACCACAGAGTGGGACAGTTCCCTGTGCAAAACTGAAGATAATATAAGGCCAGCTATTGTAAAAGAATACTTGGGGATCTTGTTGATTTCTTCTATTGCTTCAGTGGCCACACTCACCTTAGAAACAAGCAAACAGCCTACTCTTCACCTGGTAATTGTGTGGTTCCAAAGGATAAACTGTCACCTACAGCTGGATTTGTGGTGACAGAGAGGAGAAGCCAGCTGACTAGGCACGGTGGATGACATCCTTTTCCCGCACAGCAATTTGAAGAAAGCCAAGTGACGAATGGACTGTTTTGAAGTTATTGTTTTAGTAGCTTTATTTGTTGGCTAATTCAGGCTTTCGTTCAAGGGATGACTGGAATATTTTTGCTAATTAAATTGGCTACTTCTATGCCTAAAGATTGTTTTAGTAGCTTTATTTGTTGTCTAATTCAGGCTTTTGTTCATAGACCATACTCAGACCATATAGGCCTAGAGTTTAAAGAGGTGCAGCTGGTAGAAGTTTGATTAAGCCTATACTAAATACAATGTAGGATTTTTGCAGCCTTTATTCGATTCTGGAATTATTTATTTAAGTTTCAATTAAACTATTTTATTATCTAAACCAGTGGTTCCCAACCGGGGCTACTAGGCCAAGGGGTACTTGAGAAGACTCATGAGACCATAGGCTTACTGGTAAAATGCACATAAGGGGGTACTTCAGGGGTTCTCCGAGCAGAGAAGAATTCAGTTGGTGGTACAGTAACCGAAAAAGGTTGGAAACAATTGATCTAAACAATATTGAATGTACATTTCTTGTTTTGTTATGTTGTTATGTTGTTACGCTATAGGCTAATAGGTATGTCGGAAAAATTACAAACTCGCAACACGCATCTGATTATTAATTATGAATAGGATTTATTTGATTTCATTTGTTTACATTCTTCATTGAAACCACAATGTCACAAACAATTGAACACACACACAACATTGTCAAAATGTTTTTTTTTTTTTTTTTTTTTTTAACGATCTGTACTTATTTATTTTAAACCAAAGCCACGAATGAGTGAGTCACTCAGCTTTATGCGGACTAAACAAATAAATTGCCTAAATAAACTAGTAAATGTAATAAATAAAACAAATAAATTAAATAGCTCAGGTCTTGACCTTTTTCCCTCCATATCCACAATGTCAAGTCAGTTTTGTTTTGGCTTGGCTAGCTAATACAGCTAGCTAGCTATCTAGCTAGCTAGCTAATATGATTTGAAAGATGCAGTAACACCAGATCAACAGCATCAGCTTTTTGGCCACCTGCCCCTGGTTCCTAGAGGGAAGTGGACTGCGGTGTGAGGGGATGCAGGATTGAGGGATCACTGTATCGTAGGGGGCTTTTCCAGACTACTGCTGAGGTGTGGTGGTCTTACTGGAGCTTTTACTGGCGCCAAAGTGTCACTCAGGTGGGTGCTACATTTCAGTAGTGGATGATCCAGCCTACTTACGGAGGATGAGCTGTGAACATCAAAGACGACGAGGTGCCCAATGTGGAGCTCCGTGGCCTGTTTGTCAGATGTTTCTAACTCCCTGCCTGTGTGTGTGCCATTCAGAGGGTGAATGGGCAAGACAAAATATCGAAGTGCCTTTGAACGTGGTATGGTAGTAGGCAATGTCCCTCTAAGCTGCGCACGTGCGTGGGTGATCAGTAGAGCAGTAGCCCGAGACTGCCGCGCAGCTCCCCAGGACTGCCGCGCAGCTCCCCAGGACTGCCGCGCAGCTCCCCAGGACTGCCGCGCAGCTCCCCAGGACTGCCGCGCAGCTCCCCAGGACTGCCGCGCAGTAGAAACATCAGCCCATAGAGAGAAGCACAAGATTGAACTTCACTCAACTTTATAGAGCAATGGTCACCAACCGGTCGATTGCGATTGACTGGTTGATCTCCAAGGCATTTCTAGTCGATCGCCAAACATTTCTGTAAAAAAAACTACGATAAAGCCTTGTGTTCCTATTATTATTTTTTGTCTCGGGCTGTTGGCGGTAGGTGCACCCGATTCAGCTGCCCTGTGCGCCGGGTGTCTGAAGGTACAAACTCTGCCTTCCCGGCGGGCCCGGAGAGCAAATCAAGTGCACTATAGGCCTACCGCTGGCCAATCGGATGGCTCAGTTTACAGTGTCTGCAGGCATAAAATACATCTACAGCAAAGTTGATACTGTGAGATTTCAAAATGTGTTAAATCATGGTATTTCACGGAAAACTTTAGATTTTGCATGAATGACTCATGGGTGAAATATGTGTGAAACCCCAATGAATGCACAATTAAAGGTTCTGACCATAAAGATAGGGGGCATTACAAGTGTTATCAGTTTAGAGATTGGTACTTAGAGTTTTGAAAATACACCACCTACAACTGAAAGATTCGCCAAATAAGTGATTGAAAAAAACTAACAAATTACAAGAAAATCATATGAAAAGTGAGAAAGTGACTTTGTGAATTTGTTTGTTGTACTCAGTAAATTGAAAATGTGCTTAGTCTGTTTAGATTATTGTCCTTAATTGCACCAAAGTGATTGAAAAGAACTGTAACATCATGCACGGGTGACGATTGTTTGTCAGATAAGCATTAGCGAAGTATCTCCAAAGGTGTCTTAGCTTTCATAGTGTATTATGATGCATGAAAACTTGGACAGACAGCCTCTTCTGTCCATTGAGACAATGCTGCTGACCTGTTTCAAGGGAATGTATGTCTCTAGCTGACAACTCTGTCTGGATGCCTCACCTAAGCGATGTTGTGGGTGGTGCGGCAGGTTAACCTGTGACACAGGCTGTGTCCCAAATGTCTATATATAGTGCACTACTGTTGAGCCCTGGTCCCAAAAGGGAATAGGGTGCCATTTGGCACACAGTCCGTGTCACAGGAATAGGATGCCAGGGTCACAGGAATAGGGTGCCAGGGCCCATTTGGGATGCAGACACAGTCATCTGTATGTTAACAGAGTCTGCAGTGTGTGTGTGTGTGTGTGTTATGTGTTACCTGTGCAATACGGTGGTGCTGCAGGTTGATGACTCTGGACACAGCCATTTGAATGCTGCCAAACACCGCCACCACCTCCAGGATCTTATCGTCAAAGGACGGCGCCGTGAACGTCTTCAGGGAAGAGGACATGTAATTGTTAAAATACAATGAGTTTACAAAACATTAGGACCTTCCTAATACTGAGTTGCACCCCCTTTTGCCCTCAGAACAGCCTCAATTCGTCGGGGCATGAACTCTACAAGGTGTCGAAAGCGTTCCACAGGGATGCAAGCCCATGTTGGTATGGTAGCAGGTGCGCCTGGCACCTGCTACCATACCCCATTCAAAGACACAAATCTTTTGTCTTGCCCATTCACCCTCTGAATGGCACACATACCCAATCCATGTCTCAATTGTCTCAAGGCTTAAAAATCCTTATTTAACCTGTCTCCCCCCTTCATCTACACTGATTGAAGTAGATTTTCACCTGGATTCACCTGGTTAGTCAATGTCATGGAAAGAGCATGTGTTCCTTATGTTTTGTACACTCAGCATATGCCACATATATTGTGAAGAGCTGTGGTCGAGTGGCAACACACAATATTAACACCGCTTCATTTTTTCCACATTTTGTTGTGTTACTGTCTGAATTTAAAGTGGATTAAACTGAAATTTAGTGTCACTGGCCTACACACAATACCCCATAATTTCAGTGGAACTATGTTTTTAGAAATGTTTACAAATTAATAAAAAGCTGAAATGTCTTGATTAATTTTCTGTAAGTATTCAACCCCTTTGTTATGGCAAGCCTAAATACGTTCACACTGTGTGCAATAATAGTGTATAACATGATTTTGTTATGACTACCTCATCTCTGTACCACTAACATACAATTAATTTTCTGTAAGGTCCCTCAGTCGAGCAGTGAATTTCAAACACAAATTTAACCACAAAGACCAGGGAGGTTTTCCAATGCCTCGCAAAGAAGGGCACCTACTGGTAGATGGGTAAAAATAAAAAACAGCAGACATTAAATATCCCTTTGAGAATGGTGAAGTTATTAATTACACTTTGTAATCCATGTCTCATTTGTCTCAAGCTTAAAAATCCTTCTTTATCCTGTCTCCTGCCCTTTACTTACACTGATTGAAGTGGATTTAACAGGTGACATCAATAAGGAATCATAGCTTTCACCTGGATTCACCTGGTCAGTCTATGTCATGGAAAGAGCAGGTGTTCCTAATGTTTTGTACATTAACTGTACATCTCACGTGGTTAGTCACACATTAACACAACAACGCTGACTGGGAGGATTGATGTGATGTGGGTTAGATTTGTGCTGGGGTATTCTGCTTTTGTAGAGGGAAGGGGTTATAAATAATAATAATAATAATAATTTGTATTATTATTATTATTATAATAAAAATATTACTTATTTACATAGCACTTTTCAAAAGACCCAAAGATGCTTAAAACATTAAAAACAAAAATGTGGAGGAAACATGTGAGTACTGTTAATGTCATGTAATCTTTATGACCTTGTATTATTGTGTTATAAAAAAAAGATCCAGCTGCCTATGGAGTCATATTAGGATTTTGATTACACTTACATCATCCTCTTTGGTCCCGCCCCAGAAGTTGGTGCCGCCTGCGTAGCTGGGGATGTTCAGGACAGCTATGCCCTGCAGACTGGGGAGAGGGATAGGCCTCCCGTCGCACTGAAACACACACACATTATCATACTGTAACAGAACAAAACTGTCTGCATATGCTCTGTTACAAACACCCACAATCACAATAATAACACCAGACATTCATCGAAAAGTCCAAAAACAGATGTGCCAATCCCAAATTGCCCCTTAGGGTCAGGGTTAGAGTTATGGGATGACAGTCAAGTCTCTTTAGGGAATGGCACATTGAGGCGCGTGACACAGATAAAATAGTATATGACGTACATCATTGTCCGTTTCCATCTGTCGAAAGTACAACTCATCTATGCTTTTTTCCCCGGACGAGTTGCATACGTACAAAGGCGTATATATTGTTCTTTGTCTGAGAAGTTTTTTGTTGGACAATTTCAACTAATCTCCGTTGTCATTCATCCAGCAACGGATGACAGCCATTGAAAAACCATGGGCTCCATCCGGAATATTCAGACAAAATCTCAATGTGGCCGTACCCTTAGTTGCACCCACTTGGTTATTGTTGTGTTTTCTTACCTCCAGCAGTACCTTCTGCTCTAGGTTCTTGTAGGTGCGATGCAGCAGCTCCTTGGTGCCCAGAACCCCGTACCACATCATGTTCTTGGTGCGACTCCTGAACACAGACCGACCCACAGCTTAACACAGTGACCGAGCACACACACATATACTGTATACATAGAAACAAAGCACAACACAAAGAAATGTACTCTGTTCTACAAACAAACATTAGGCTCTTTGTGAAGAGCAGTAGCACATAAATGGAAGACATTGCTATTCTAAAGGACAAAACACACCGTGAGGAAGAACAGTTTAAGCAGCAGGTGAAAGCTAACATGTCGCGGCCACTCACTGCTTTTAGCCGTTGGTCTTTGCGGTTTGCCTGAGCTATAAACAGTCTCTCCAGGATTTGGGGTGATATTTTTGTGATATTTGCAGTAAGAAATGCTTGATTTTGCTGCGGCAATACAGACATTTTGCATGGCAATTTGCGAAGATTTGTGTCCAAATTATCACGGAAATGCACTGACGGGGGACTAATTTCGGACTAATTTTCAACAATTCTACGCATTTCGCCTTGGCTAACGCAGCGTTCTTATGCTCAAACATTATAAGAAAATCAAAGTGGGCCCCAATTGGTGTGCCCTTCTTGCCCGGTCGGAATTCAGTGTTTTTGGAATTTTCGATTCTCCCTGACTGTCTAGGTTTTACATTGGTGATTGTTCTTTCCACAATCTTTCTACATTCTTTCTATGTGGTTTTAGTCTTTTAAGTTTACACTGAAATTGATTTCTGAACTGTTTGGTCTGTTTTACACTGACCCAGACTAGACCCCTTGAGACCCAGACCCAATCTATCAAAACCCAGATTCTGTGTATTGAGACCATGACCAGACCAACACTGTATTTACGTGGTCTCAAGACAAAGACCACGAGATCAAGACTCCATCTCTGCTTATCACCCTATCCAGGACTGGGTCTATCTGGTTTAGTTAGCAGGGGCCTCCGCCTCATTCCTCAGTTACCTGCACTTCTCTGGATGCTCGTCCCGCTTATTGTTGAAGTCCAGTGAGATCTTAGCATCCAGGCCGATCCCAAAGTAGTTGTTCATCACACATTTCTCAGTGTAGCAGTCACTGAAACCAAACACAGTACAAGGTCACTCACGACTCTGGGGCAAGAGGTAGATGATGATGATGATGAGGTTGAGCTTAAAGGAATAGTTCACTTGAAAAGCATGGGGAAAGCAGGGACATGGAAAGAGGAAGGAAGAGATCTTTCCCATGCTTTTTAATACACCACTAGCTAGTTCAATCCGTTTCCACTAGCATTACTCCATGCTCCAAAGACGCTGGCCCAGGAGATTCTGGACGTTGTTTAATAACCAGCTAACAAACCTAAAAACAGTTTGCATGAAATGACAACACCAAAGGTATGTTGAAAATAAGCTAAAACCTAAAAAGTTAACTAACCCTTTATGGGAAGGAGGAGAAAGACTGATACGTGGACACTCACAAGGTCTCTTGGTCGAAGCTGAAGGAGTCAGCGTTGACCAGCAGTCTGCTGATGACCGAACTGCTGGAGAGGGAGCCAGAGATACCAGCCCTGAGACCTGAACCCACACATAAACACACACACACACTTAACACATACTGAACACTGACAATTGAGAACAGAGAGAGCAAAATTACATCACAGGAATATAAAGTGTAATAGTGTCAAAAATATAAGTCAATTATTTCCGGTGTACTAGTGCTGAGCGATTAACAGAGATGTCGGTTATTTTTTGGTTTTTAAACAACTAATTGTCCAAAGTCAGTTCAATTATTTGATTTCCATTTCATTCTGTTTTTTTCTGTGAGCTCAATGCGTACAATGCGCTGCAGTTTCTCTAGAGATTAATCAGATCATGCCCAAACTGTGCGATATAGTAGGGAGTTGTAGTTTCCAACAGGCCAATATTCTACATAATTATCAAGTTTTCTGCGCTAAACTAACTGCAATGACCATAATCCAATGCGCGCCTACTTGTCCGGTCTGTGTTTCTTTTACAGCCTGCTATGTAAGGGACAGAAGAATGCGGATCAAGAGGGGATACATAGAGAGCAGTTTCTTCGCGAGGTATCTCTACCTGAAAATACATGATCTAAGTAATTGATAGTTGGTATTCAGTAGTCATAAAAGTATGCTTTATTTACTTGAAAGAACTACTAAAATAGTGATTTTATCAGACAGCATAGGCAGCAGCTCTATAGAGGAGATGATGACTTGGAATGAAATAATCATCAAATAAAACAAATGTAATATACACAACAACTGAAATATTTTATGAAAGTAAAGTAATGCGAATAACTGATAGTTATTAAGTGATAAGCAGTAATGGGCAGTCACTACCATCATGGGACTTTTATTAATTGTTTTAGTCTGTGTTGTTACAGCATTTAACACACATAATGCAATCCTGATTTGTTTAAAAAAATAATCGAACCGAAACCGAACCGACCTCAAAAAGCACTAATCGCGCAGCACTACGGTTTACACAAGTATCCAAGGGGGTAGGGGTCGATTTGGGATTGGGGAACTGAAGGCCCTTGGTACAGAGCTGGTGAGAACTTGTGCCCTTACTTGGGTAGAGGATCTTGGTGTTGAGCATCGGCATGTTCTCTCGACTTCCTGTCTGGGCAGGAAGTGACGCAGAGCTGCCCATTGACAGGCTTCCTTTGCTGATGAGCTTTTCACAAGGAGTCTTGGACACTACGGGATCAAGCAGAGACACAGAAAGACATGAGACACTGGGATGTTGATTTAAGGCCCACTCTTTAATTTGAAAAACAACACACATTTAGAAGTGATAATCTTCAAGAATAAATGGGCACGCATCATTAATTAAAATGATCCGTTTTGTCTGGGCCGTCCGTGTGCATTAGGGCACGCAATGAAAAACACTTTAAAAGGTAGTCCTTCCCTGGTTCGGTCTGTTTTCTTACGACCCAGGTTAGGAGACTCAGGGTTCAATGACTGACCTCTGCGGACTGGATGGCTCCTGGTGCTGTTACAGGCGTTCCCACTGTAGGACGACTGCAAAAACAGCTTGTCATGCTCTTCCTCCTCCTCCTCCTCCTCTGCCCCCAGAGAAAACACCTCCTGAGTCTGGGCATTCTGCTCGTCCACCACTGATAGAAGAATGGAGAGGAAGACCGTTCAGCAACAAGAGTAGGTACAGTGCCTTCGGAAAGTATTCAGACCCCTTGGTTTTTCCATATTTTGTTACATTACAGCCTTATTCTAAAATGGATTAAATACAAATTATCAGCAATCTACACACAATACCTCATAATGACAAAGCGAAAACAGGTTAGACATTTTCGCAAATAATAATAATAAAAAACAGAAATACCTTATTTTCATGACTATTCAGACCCTTTGCTATGAGACTCGAAGTTGAGCTCAGGTGCATCCTGTTTCCATTGATCATCCTTGAGATGTTTTTATAACTTGATTGGAGTCCACCGGTGTTAAATTCAATTGATTGGACATGATTTGGAAAGGCACACACCGGTCTATATAAGGTCCCACAGTTGACAGTGCATGTCAGAGCAAAAACCAAGCCATGAGGTCGAAGGAATTGTCCGTAGAGCTCTGAAACAGGATTGTGTCGAGGCACAGATCTGGGGAAGGGTACGAAAAAATGTCTGCAGCATTGAAGGTCCCCAAGAACACAGTGGCCACCATCATTCTTAAATGGAAGAAGTTTGGAACCACCAAGACTCTTTCTAGAGCTGTCCACCCGGCCAAACTGAGCAATCAGGGGAGAAGGGCCTAGGTCAGGGAGGTGAAACCGATGGTCACTCTGACAGAGCTCAAGAGTTCCTCTGTGGAGATGGGAGAACCTTCTAGAAGGACAACCATCTCTGTAGCACTCCACCAATCAGGCCTTGTAGAGCGGCCAGACAGAAGCCACTCTTCAGTAAAAGGCACCTAAAGGACTCTCAGACCATGAAAAACAAGATTCTCTGGTCTGATGAAACCAAGATTGAACTCTTTGGCCTGAATGCCAAGCGTCATGTCTGGAGGAAACCTGGCACCTTCCAACAGGACAACGGCCCTAAGGGGGCTTCGGGACAAGTCTCTGAATGTCCTTGAATGGCCCAGCCAGAGCCCGGACTTGAACACCATCAAACATCTAAGGAGAGACCTGAAAATAGCTGTGCAGCAACGCTCCCCATCCAACCTGACAGAGCTTGAGAGGATCTGCAGAGAAGAATGGGAGAAACTCCCCAAATACACGTGCCAAGCTAGTAGCGTCATACCAAAGAAGACTCAATGCTGTAATCGCTGCCGAAGGTTCTTCAACAAAGTACTGAGTAAAGGGTCTGAATACTTATGTAAATGTGATATTTCCGGGAGTTTTTTTTTTATTATAATAAAATCAAAAAAACTGTTTTTGCTTTGTCATTATGGGGTATTGTGTGTAGATTGATGAGGGAAAAAAACAATTTAATCAATTTTAGAATAAGGCTGTAATGTAACAAAATGTGGAAAAAGTGAAGGGGTCTGAATACTTTCCAAAGGCACTGTATGTTGAAAACGTAGAGGAGAGAGGTAAAACCGCTCTCTTTTGGATGAGTATAGATAGCAACTATATTATCTCAGGGTCGGGGTACGTCCATTCCATTTCACCTCACTCAATTCAGGAAGTAAACTGAAATTCCAATAACTATCATACTCTGCAAGTCTGATCTGAGACATGGCTACAAGGAGTCCTGCTCTACTGTGGCAACTGCTTTTCATGGAGGTCTGAATTGGAATTGGAAATTCAGGTTACTTTCTGAATTGACCCCAACAGAACAGAAGTAGCAGTAGGAAGGTAACATCTCACCTTTCTCAGTGTGCTCGATAATCTGCCTGATGGCTTTCTTCAGGCTGTTGGCTCTCAGCATCAGCTGTTCCCTGGGTTTAAAGATGGCTGTCAGGGGCCTGGGGGAGCACGGGGGGCGGGCGGGTGATGGCACAAGAACCTCCTCGCCCTCTTCCTGCTCCTCAGTGATGGTGGGAGGAGGGGCAGGCATCATAGTAGATGCCTGTGCCTCCTCGTTGAGTGTCTTCAGCAGCGAGTCCAGCTTCTCCTTCAGAACCCCACACTGCAACCAATCAACACAGATCGTATTCACTTCATTAGTGCAAACATGGCTGGAGGGATTATCCACCATATTTCCTATACCAATTATTTACATAAAATCAGTGAAGGGATGTGAACAACTGCACACGTTGGGAGGAAGGTGAGATAATTGGTACAAAGCAATGGTTCCTCACAGCTTACCTTTTTGGCCATAGCCTCTGACTCCTCTGAGCTCTCCTTGTTCTTCTCATAGGCCTTCCCCACTCGAGCCACAAAGTCCTTCACTGTTTCACACAGTACCCTACGAACACGCACAACACAGTCAGGGCAACGGAAACCTACTCCTAAATACACTTGCGATAGTGAAGCTGGACATAAGAAACGGTATGGACATAGCAGGTAGGCAGACTGATTGAAGCGACAGACATACTTAGCCGAGGAGATGACCACTGAGTGCTGATCTGAAGTCAGGATCTTGGACAGGTGGGCCGCCACAGAGTCCTCATAGGTCAGAATATGTTGCACCTGTGGCACAGGTAACAATCAAGGTCGAAAACAGGCTAGTCTTTAGGAAATGTGTCTTCAACTGCACAGCATCACCACATACAGTGCATTCATGGTCAAAACATGTTGATACGACAGTAACTAAAATGGGGAGAAGTCTGACAATCTCTCATGGCTCAAAGTGGAGGAGAGATTGACTTCATCACTAATTGTTTTTGTAAGAAGTGTTGACAAGCTGAATGCACCGAGCCTTCTGTTAAACTCCTAGCACACAGCTCGGACACCCATGCATACACCACAAGACATGCCACCAGAGGTCTCTTCACAATCCCCAAGTCCAGAACAGACTATGGGAGGCGCACAGTACTACATAGAGCCATGACTACATGGAACTCTATTCCACATCAGGTAACTGATGCAAGCAGTATAATCATATTAAAAAAACAGATAAAAATACACTTTATGGAACAGCGGGGACTGTGAAATAGACACACACACACAGGCACAGACACACGCATACGCACACAAACGCTTGGCAGCAGCTTGTTTACAGACAGATTATTTCACTAATAATTCACTGTATCACAATTTCAGTGGGTCAGAAGTCAAGACCTCAGAAAAAAAATTGTAGACCTCCACAAGTCTGGTTCATCCTTGGGAGCAATTTCCAAACGCCTGAAGGTACCACGTTTATCTGTACAAACAATAGGACGCAAGTATAAACACCATGGGACCATGCAGCCGTCATCCCGCTCAGGAAGGAGACACGTTCTGTCTCCTAGAGATGAACGTACTTTGGTGCGAAAAGTGCAAATCAATCCCAGAACAACAGCAAAGGACCTTGTGAAGATGCTGGAGGAAACAGGTACAAAAGTATCTATATCCTCAGTAAAACGAGTCCTATATCGACATAACCTGAAAGGCCACTCAGCAAGGAAGAAGCCACTGCTCCAAAACCGCCATAAAAAAGCCAGACTACGGTTTGCAACTGCACATGGGGACAAAGATTGTACTTTTTGGAGAAATGTCCTATGGTCTGATGAAACAAAAATAGAACTGTTGTTATTGGATATATTGAAGCAACATCTCAAGACATCAGTCAGGAAGTTAAAGCTTGGTCGCAAATGGGTCTTCCAAATGGACAATGACCACAAGCATACTTCCAAAGTTGTGGCAAAATGGCTTAAGGACAACAAAGTCAAGGTGTTGGAGTGGCCATCACAAAGCCCTGACCTCAATCCTATAGAAAATGTGTGGGCAGAACTGAAAAAGTGTGTGCGAGCAAGGAGGCCTACAAACTTGAGTCAGTTACACCAGCTCTGTCAGGAGGAATGGGCCAAAATTCACCCAAATTATTGTGGGAAGCTTGTGGAAGTCTACCTGAAACGTTTGACCCAAGTTAAACAATTTAAAGGCAATGCTACCAAATACTAATTGAGTGTATGTAAACTTCTGACCCACTGGGAATGTGATGAAATAAATAAAAGCTGAAATAAATAATTATCTCTACTATTATTCTGACATTTCACATTCTTAAAATAAAGTGGTGATCCTAACTGACCTAAGACAGGGAATTTTTACTAGGATTAAATGTCAGGAATTGTGAAAAACTGAGTTTAAATGTATTTGGCGAAGATGTATGTAAACTTCCGACTTCAACTGTATATACAACAATGTAAGTCAAACAATATTACAACAACAAACTCATGTGGATAAGCTACAATTTCAGTTCATGGGAGGGGGAGAGTTAGTGTTGTTGGGCAGAGTTAGTTATTTAATAGTTACCTGTTAAAGACACCTGTCCACAGAAGTAATCAATCAATCAGATTCCAAACTCTCCACCATGGCCAAGACCAAAGAGCTCTCCAAGGATGTCAGGGTTAAGATTGTAGACCTACACAAGGCTAGAATGGGCTACAAGACCATCGCCAAGCAGCTTGGTGAGAAGGTGACAACAGTTGGTGCGATTATTCGCAAATGGAAGAAACACAAAAGAACTGTCAATCTCCCTCGGCCTGGGGCTCCATGCAAGATCTCACCTCGTGGAGTTGCAATGATCATGAGAACGGTGAGGAATCAGCCCAGAACTACACGGGAGGATCTTGTCAATGATCTCAAGGAAGCTGGGACCATAGTCACCAAGAAAACAATTGGTAACACACTACGCCGTGAAGGACTGAAATCCTGCAGCGCCCGCAAGGTCCCCCTGCTCAATAATAATAAATAATAATATGCCATTTAGCAGACGCTTTTATCCAAAGCGACTTACAGTCATGCGTGCATACATTTTTTTTGTGTATGGGTGGTCCCAGGGATCGAACCCACTACCTTGGCGTTATAAGCGCCGTGCTCTACCAGCTGAGCTCAAGAAAGCACATATACAGGCCCGTCTGAAGTTTGCCAATGAACATCTGAATGATTCAGAGGAGAACTGGTTGAAAGTGTTGTGGTCAGATGAGACCAAAATCGAGCTCTTTGGCATCAACTCAACTCGCCGTGTTTGGAGGAGGAGGAATGCTGCCTATGACCCCAAGAACACCATCCCCACCGTCAAACATGGAGGTGGAAACATTATGCTTTGGGGGTGTTTTTCTGCTAAGGGGACAGGACAACTTCACCGCATCAAAGGGACGATGGACGGCACCATGTACCGTCAAATCTTGGGTGAGATCCTCCTTCCCTCAGCCAGGGCATTGAAAATGGGTCGTGGATGGGTATTCCAGCATGACAATGACCCAAAACACATGGCCAAGGCAACAAAGGAGTGGCTCAAGAAGAAGCACATTAAGGTCCTGGAATGGCCTAGCCAGTCTCCAGACCTTAATCCCATAGAAAATCTGTGAAGGTCAGGCTCGAAACATCAGGCTCGAAACCTTAATGACTTGGAGAAGATCTGCAAAGAGGAGTGGGACAAAATCCCTCCTGAGATGTGTGCAAACCTGGTGGCCAACTACAAGAAATGTCTGACCTCTTTGATTGCCAACAAGGGTTTTGCCACCAAGTACTAAGTCATGTTTTGCAGAGGGGTCAAATACTTATTTCCCTCATTAAAATGCAAATCAATTCATAACATTTTTGACATGCGTTTTTCTGGATTTTTTTGTTGTTATTCTGTCTCTCACTGTTCAAATAAACCTACCATTAAAATTATAGACTGATCATGTCTTTGTCAGTGGGCAAACGTACAAAATCAGCAGGGGATCAAATACTTTTTTCCCTCACTGTATATCTGAAGACAAGTGTCTAATGACTCCATAAATGGCATGTAACTGCAATTGTACTCTAATTCAATTAAAATTATCAGGATGTGTATGACAGGAATGTATGTAATTGACAGGTACCTCAGAGTCATCGCTGCAATCCTCCGTCACCATGGAGCTGGAATGTTGCCGCGGGAACTTCGTCTCGTACACCATAATACTCCACCTGGGCACAAAATAAAAACAATGGATAGTTTACGGGCTGGGAGTTTTTTCTTCCTGACCTGACCAGGAGAAACTTCTTTGAGTAATGATAGCTGGCTTAAAGCTACAATATGTAACTTTTTGGGCGACCCGACCAAATTCACATAGAAAATTGAGTTATAGATCTGTCATTCTCATTGAAAGCAAGTCTAAGAAGCAGTAGATCTGTTCTATGTGCTCTATTTCTATGTTTCCCGTTCTTAAGTTTAGTTTTTTCGTCTTTTATTTTCGGTTTTGTACACAAGCTTCAAACAGCTTAAAATACAATATTTCTGGTTATGGGAAACATATTTCACAGCGGTTTCGATAGTACAATGATTCTCTACACAATTACTGCTTGTTTTGTCACATAAACTGAAATTGGGCCAACTGTTAGAATTTTAACAACCAGGAAATGGTGGAGCGATTTCTGCATATGGTTCCTTTAATGGTGTCTTTTTAACAGTTAGTTACCTGCTCTTCCTCCCTCTTCATCCCTCTCTCACCTGTCAAGCATCTTGGTGATTATTTCCCTCACCCCCTGTTCTCTCTCCTCCTCCCTAAGTCTCTTTTTCTTTCACTCCTCACCGTCCTCCTCCCTCTCCCTCACCTACCTGTCGAGCATCTCGGTGCTGGCTCTCTACAACTTCTCCCCCCTCTACCTCCTCCCTCCCTCTCTCTGTCCTCCTCCCTCCCTACCTCTCTTACCTGTCAAGCATCTTGGTGCTGGCCCTCTCAAGCTTCTCCAGTATTTGAGGCAGCTGTGTGTCGTCGTCGCAGGCCGAGCCCCAGCCCAGGACACGGGCGAGGTCATTTCCTGTCCCCAGGGGCAGAACACCCAGCTGGCACTGCAACACAACAAGTTATTTATCCTGTTACAACTGACCCCTGTTACATTTAGCCCTGTTCTCCCCCATTTAATCCTAATTCAGAAAACATGAATACAGCTCACTTATACAAAATCTTTGATTAGTAACTCCTACCATTTTGTTTTTGTCATAGAAATGCATATTGATGGTTATAGTTATTATCTATTGAATGGTGAAATTACCTACTCATTCATTGACAAATTATGCTATTTTGATGGTTTCAGCTTGATTTTTCACATGTATTACATGCTCTAGGATGTTGCAAAAGTCATCTCCTCATTAAACGACAAATGATACTGTTTTGATAAGAGTTATTTTATGACAGGTATTTTAAGTTGATGGTGTTAGTGCATTTTGAAAGAGAAAAGTGTTGTTTTGGCAAACACAATTGAGTTTAGTGGGATTTGGTAACTGTTTTGCAAAAGTGAACCCTGTTTCGAGCAAAGAGTTCGTGTAATCGAGAAAAACGAATACATGTGAACAGAGTCCGGAAAGCCAGGACTTCACTACCTCACAACCAGCAGAGGGCAGTGTCTGTTTGTTTATCTGTCCATCTATCTAATAGAGGCAGGCAGTGTGACAAAACGGTATCTTTGTTACTAGATTGTTGAAAGAGGAACAAGGGAAACATGAGAGCGGCTGGCTGGCTGGCACAGTAGCCAGAGCTGCCTGCTAGGCTCAGGGCTTGCTTAGGGATGATGGGAGCGTAGCCAAAGCTCTTTCTCAATTCGTCTTTTCTCGAGTTCTCTCCTCGCCTCCTTCCCAAAACCCATTGGATGAGAAAGTCTGATGTCCAAGAACGTGAGTAATCAAGGAAACACGAATTGAGAACGAGCCCAAGATTCAGTGGGTGTAGCCCAACTGATGGAAGTTTATTTTCAGCTCAGTGCAGATGAAGGGGGGGTGTGTGAACTTGCCTGTTTGTGGAGCGTCAGAGTGTCGATCTCAGAGAGGACCCAGCCCACGCTGCCGTCACCCCCACACACTAGGATCCGGAACGTGTCGAACTTCTGGAAGAGCCGCAAACTAGGAGAGACACAGAAGAGAGAGCCCTCTAAGACAAGCAGCAATACACACACAGTGCCGTCGGAAACACACACAGCATGTAAGACGCATGCACGTACGCACGCACACAGGGCAGACTCACCCGAGGTGCGGCCCCCCGTTCATGAGGTCAAAGACTTGGGCGGGGTTGAGCAGCTGTTTAAAGCGCCGCAGGAACTTGATGCCCTGGTTGTCTCCGCTTTTACTGTTGACGAACACCAGGAGAGGGCTGGTGCAGGAGGGCGGGCAGGTGGCCTTCCAGAACCCTGAGGACCAATGACAGGCAGATGAGGAACAATGAAAAACAGTAACAGACAGATGAGGACCAATGACAGGCAGATGAGGACCAATGACAGGCACATAGAGGGCCACAGACAGGAACAGCATCCAACCCCTGTTGCCAGGAGAGTAAACAAGGTCCGGAGTCAGGAGCTTTAACCGCTATACCAGACTCTGGCACACACCTGAACTTCTAGGGTCGGTTTCCCGGACACAGATTAATGGAGAATCTCCATTGAGCATGCTTTTTAGTCCAGGAATAGGCTTAATCTGTGTCTGGGAAACCAGCCCCTAACATCTAATAAGAAAGAGCGTATAAAACAAAACAAAAAATGCTACGTTAACATTCCCAAAATGTCCAGGTTTTGCTTAAAAAATTGTTGAAAAATTCTGAATTTTGTGCTTATTACCTTATAATTCCGAGAGTCTTCCAACTGGGATTTCTGGAAAACCTGGGAATTTTGGGAAAGTTTTGAATTTCGCAACCCTAGGCCTAATGAACACTCCCTGGCCGGTCACGCAGACATCCCTATGTGTCCTGTTCACCCACAAACACAGGTGTAAAGTGAAGTTGCCCCTGATCTTGGGTCAGTTTAGCACTTTCCCCAATAATAGTTAAGGTTAGGATTGGGGGAGGGAAAGCTCACCGTCTGAGTCGATGCTGTTGAGGGCTGTGGGGGGGATGACCGACACCTTACACTGCCCCAAAGGACACTTAGTGGATAGCTGCTCCTTACACACCATGTGCACCTGGACATAAACATGCATGCACGCATGCGCGCACACACACACAAACACACACTCTATTTTTAGTCAGAGCATTACGACAAGTATGTAGAGTCAACAACCTGATAAGTACAATGGCCTAGTGACTGTTGTGAATGTGTCATGAATCAGTGCATGCAGAAATAAAAAATACATGACTACTGTATTGTGGCTGCTGAAAAGTATAGTAATGCAGTTTGCACTTATCCGATTTGCACTTATCCCTCAAAAACATACCCAAATACGCACGCACGCAGACTCACCATGGCCTTGCACCAGAGGCAGCGCCAATCCTGCAGTCGGAGCACACTGCCACACGTCTTGTCACACACTGTACACTTAGCACTGACCGGCAGGTTGCCCTCCAGCCACTGGTGAGGCAAAGAGATCTACAGTGAGGGAGAAGTTACTGTTATTTTCAGTAAGTATTTATTTCTGTCATCATTGCCTTGCAAACACTATGTGGTTACACTTTTCATGCCAATAAAGCCTTTAGAATTGAATTGAGAGACAGAGCGAGAGAGTGGGTTAGAGAGGGAGGAAGGGAGGGAGGGAGAAAGAGGGCAGGAGAGAAAGAGGGAGAGAGAGAGGGGAACCATCCTTTGCCCATAGACAACAAATTGCACTAAAGGGAAGCCGGATGTGGAGGTCCTGGGCTGGCGTGGTTACATGTGGTCTGCGGTTGTGAGGCCGGTTGGAGATACTGCCAAATTCTCTAAAGCGAACTTGGAGGCAGCTTATGACAGAGAAATGAACATTAAATTATTTGGCAAAAGCTCTGGTGGACATTCCTGCAGTCAGCATGCCAATTGCACGCTCCCTCAAAACTTGAGACATCTGTGGCATTGTGTTGTGTGACCAAACTGCACATTTTAGAGTGGCCTTTTATAGTTCCCAGCACAAGGTGCACCTGTGTAATGATCATGCTGTTTAATCAGCTTCTTGATATGCCACACCTGTCAGGTGGATAGATTATATTTGCAAAGGAGAAATGCTCACTAACAGGGACGTAAACAAATTTGTGGCAAAGATTTAAATACGTTTTTTGTGCGTCTGGAAAATTTCTGGGATCTTTTATTTCAGCTCATGAAACATGGGACTCTTTCAATGTTGCATTTATATTTTTGTTCTGTGTAAATGTGTAGGCTGCATTTCTTCACAAAACTAACAACACAGTGGCATATTATTCCAGCAGTTTTAAACTCTATATGATAAAAACATTTGAAAACGGACTTGAGATATTTAGTAATGCAAACAAATAGTTTCTTTCTGGTGAGTTTGTCTGAACAGCATCCTCTTACCTCTCAAATATCCACCACACAGTACAAAACCAAGCCCTGTCCTGCTTTATACACACTACACCACTGCTTTTAGTGCTTTGTTCCCACAGGATGTTTTGTACCCAAAGTGTGAGTGAATGAGTAAGGGCAGTGAGTGTTTATTTATTTATATTAATTTTTTATATTATTTATTATAATTTATTTATGTAGTAGTGAATGGGAATTAGCTTTGAGAACAAACTGATTGACCCTGTTGTACAGTGAGGGAAAAAAGTATTTGATCCCTTGCTGATTTTGTACGTTTGCCCACTGACAAAGAAATGATCAGTCTATAATGTTAATGGTAGGTTTATTTGAACAGTGAGAGACAGAATAACAACAAAAAAATCCAGAAAAATGCATGTCAGAAATGTTATAAATTGATTTGCATTTTAATGAGGGAAATAAGTATTTGATCCCCTCTCAATCAGAAAGATTTCTGGCTCCCAGGTGTCTTTTATACAGGTAACGAGCTGAGATTAGGAGCACACTCTTAAAGGGAGTGCTCCTAATCTCAGTTTGTTACCTGTATAAAAGACACATGTCCACAGAAGCAATCAATCAACTCTCCACCATGGCCAAGACCAAAGAGCTCTCCAAGGATGTCAGGGACAGAATTGTAGACCTACACAAGGCTGGAATGGGCTACAAGACCATCACCAAGCAGCTTGGTGAGAAGGTGACAACAGTTGGTGCGATTATTCGCAAATGGAAGAAACACAAAGAACTGTCAATCTCCCTCGGCCTGGGGCTCCATGCAAGATCTCACCTCGTGGAGTTGCAATGATCATGAGAACGGTGAGGAATCAGCCCAGAACTACACAGGAGGATCTTGTCAATGATCTCAATGCAGCTGGGACCATAGTCACCAAGAAAACAATTGGTAACACACTACGCCGTGAAGGACTGAAATCCTGCAGCGCCCGCAAGGTCCCCCTGCTCAAGAAAGCACATATACATGCCCGTCTGAAGTTTGCCAATGAACATCTGAATGATTCAGAGGAGAACTGGGTGAAAGTGTTGTGGTCAGATGAGACCAAAATCGAGCTCTTTGGCATCAACTCAACTCGCCGTGTTTGGAGGAGGAGGAATGCTGCCTATGACCCCAAGAACACCATCCCCACCGTCAAACATGGAGGTGGAAACATTATGCTTTGGGGGTGTTTTTCTGCTAAGGGGACAGGACAACTTCACCGCATCAAAGGGACGATGGACGGGGCCATGTACCGTCAAATCTTGGGTGATAACCTCCTTCCATCAGCCAGGGCATTGAAAATGGGTCGTGGATGGGTATTCCAGCATGACAATGACCCAAAACACACGGCCAAGGCAACAAAGGAGTGGCTCAAGAAGAAGCATATCAAGGTCCTGGAGTGGCCTTGCCAAGTCTCCAGACCTTAATCCCATTGAAAATCTGTGGAGGGAGCTGAAGGTTCGAGTTGCCAAACGTCAGCCTCGAAACCTTAATGACTTGGAGAAGATCTGCAAAGAGGAGTGGGACAAAATCCCTCCTGAGATGTGTGCAAACCTGGTGGCCAACTACAAGAAACATCTGACCTCTGATTGCCAACAAGGGTTTTGCCACCAAGTACTAAGTCATGTTTTGCAGAGGGGTCAAATACTTATTTCCCTCATTAAAATGCAAATCAATTTATAACATTTTTGACATGCGTTTTTCTGGATTTTTTTGTTGTTATTCTGTCTCTCACTGTTCAAATAAACCTACCATTAAAATTATAGACTGATCATTACTTTGTCAGTGGGCAAACGTACAAAATCAGCAGGGGATCAAATACTTTTTTCCCTCACTGTAGGTATAATTCCAGACGTCTTTAACAGCAGGAATAGTGCGCACGGGAGCTATAGGCTACTACTTGTAATCAACAATTTGTTGAATACATTGATTATAAGGCTGAAGTGAGTCTATATAGGCTTTACGTACATACATTTCTTGATACACTGTCCATATAGGATATTATGGATTTTTTAAACCCGTTTTTTAATGTTGCATGTTTTTTCTTTTTAATATTGTATGACATATTTTATGTATGCTTTTGCATAATTTTAATTATGTTTAATAAACCGGCTATACTGCACTCCTATCTAGCAGGGGTTCAGGGGACCTATTTTTGAGGAGCCCTCACACAGCTCCAGGGTGAAGTTTCCCCTAGGTACAGATCTAGGATCAGCTTCCCCTCCCCAATCCTAAACCTACCCAAGATCAGCACTCACCCCATCCTCATCTTCGATGATGTCCTTCCCAATGGATGCCAGAGTAGTCCACTTGCAGTTGTTGGTGGCTCGGACAGCACAGCGTTTGTGGGCCTTGAATTTACACACTGTGGGAAGGAGAAGCGGCAGGTAGCTTAGTGGTTAAGAGTGTTGTGCCAGTAACCGAAAGGTCGCTGGTTCTAATCCCCGAGCTGATTAGGTGTAAAATCTGTCGATGTGCCCTTGAGCAAGGCACTTAACCCTAATTGCTCCTGTAAGTCGCTCTGGATAAGAGCGTCTGCTAAATGACTAAAATGTAAAATGAGAAATGCATCAGATTGATACACACACACACACATACAAAAAGACAGACACACAGACACCCACATGCACACACTGTGACGCAACATTACACCAGTACACAGAGACAGATGGTGTGTTAGATAGATAGCATTACCTTTGACATTGCGTTTGGATAGAATAACACGAGGGTGAAGTTACTAAAGATCACCCTGATACTATGTGTTGGCTATAGCATTTCCCTTCCCTGCCGCATTGCATTACAGTGTTGCTTGAACAGATGTAGCATAGAGCATCCCAAATGGCCCCCTATTCCTTATATAGTGCACTACCAGAGCCCAATGAGGCCAAAGTAGTGTACTACACAGGGAATAGGGGGGCATTTGGGATGCAGCTGTAGAGATCAGCAGCAGCAGTGTAACCCACTTCCCACAACGATACAATGTGCCTTCAAGGCCCAAACTGTGATATACAGCAGTTTTGGTTCATTCTCCCCCTGCTGTGCTCCACATACATTCCTGAGGCTCCTTCTAAGAAAGCCAAGAGGAGAGATGTATGTTTTACAAGCTTTTTGGACATAAAGGGTCTGGGACAGTGTCATCTGTATGTGCCGGCGTCTGGGGTTAACTGAAGAAATGCAGCAATTCCTCTCTCAGAATGAACAATGGTCCCCTTTTGGGACAGTTTATGGCTTTTGGCAGGTGACTCTAGCTTCTGGAGTGTATGTGTGTGTATAGGGGGAGTGGAGGTATAATTGTGCTGTACTAGGCCGTTTGTTAAGAAGTAGCTTTGAGTGGTATATGTTGGGGAAGGGAAGTCACTACCCTCTAGGGCAGGGGTAGGCAACTAGATTCAGCCGCGGGCAGATATTTGTCAGAGCGGATGCTCGGGGGCCGGAACATAATTATAATAATTTGAACACTGCAAATGAACTACAAGTAAGCCCAAAAAGAGATTGTTATTTTCAAATACAATAATTTCATAGCTTGAATACATTGAGACGCAATCACATACAGTGAGCTCCAAAATTAAATTGGGAAAGTGACACATTTTTTGTTCTTTTGAATCTGTAATCCAGCACTGAAATTATACAATGACTATGAGGTTAAAGTGCAGACTGTCAGCTTTAATTTGAGTGTATTTTCATCCATATTGGGTGAACCATTTAGAAATTACAGCACTTTTTGTACATAGTCCCCCCGTTTTAGGGGACCAAAAGTATTGGGACAAATTCCCTTAAATGTGAATTAAAGTAGTAAAAAGTTAAGTATTTGGTCCCATATTCATAGCATGCAATGACTACATCAAGCTTGTGACTCTACAAATTTGTTGGGACACATTTGCTGTTTGTTTTGGTTGTTTTTCAGATTATTTTGTGCCCAATAGAAATGAATGGACCCGGTTCGATCCGAGTGAGGGAAGCACCAGAAAAGTCATTTTTTAAGCTACGTTATTAACTGGAGCTGATAAAGCGTGAGAGGAGGGAGAGAGAGGTCGAGGTGCTGCTCTAGCAGGCAGGGAAGGGGCCGTTCTGTGAGCGAGTGAAACAGGGAGCAGGGAGGGGGAAGGGGGAGACGAGAGACAGCAACCAACCAAGCCGACTCGCACTATTGTAGACTATTATCTACCATAGCTAGGTTATTTATCATAAAATATGGATTACGTAGTACCCGTCTTGACTGCATCAAACCGAGAGAAGCTAGTCAAGCTAGCTAACATCAGCTAGCTAGGCTAATTGAGGCTGCAGTGCATGCACTTTCTCATCCTACAGTTACAAATAACAACAACTCCTCAGAATATTAAGTAGCAGCCTACCTGTTGGCTCTTGGTCGTTGTAGCCTACCCTTCTCCTTTAACTCCGTCATTTTTATTCCGTCTTCCATTGATTAGATATCTCCTAACTTTTGCCACACACTGAGGCTCTATGACTGTAGCCTATTGCCACTTTGATGACTTATGATTGGCCAACAACAACAAGCTACACGTGCCACACTCCAATCTCGTGAAAAGGAAGAACAGCAGCATAAATTATTCTATGATTCTCCCCCTCTCCCTCTCGGACAAGTCAGCTAAAATTACACATACTCGAGACCCATGACAATCATAACAGATCCTAATATTATTTAGAATTCTGGATCCGGACCTTTAGCTGGCATATAGCTAGGGCAGTGTGTGTGTGTTATGTGTTCGGAGAGGTACGTACCTTCACAGGACAGTCCGTGCGAGGTGACTCCGGAGAGGGCCTCGCGGCACACGTTGCAGTAGGTGGGGCGGGCGTGGGAGCAGGCATACCAGTTATGCATCCCAGAGAAGTGGTCCATGCTATACTGGGTGGACTGGGAGGGGAACAGAGGAGACGAGAGAGGGGAAATAAGTCCTAAATCGTCCCCCTGATCCTGGGGACCCACAGAGGATTGGATTTCTGTTCTTCTTCTTACCCACCACTAATAGGCTACACTTGATTCAACTAATCAAAGGCTTCCTGTTTTGATGAGAAGTTGAATCAGGTGTGTTAGTGTTGGGCTATAACAAAAACGTGCACCCGTCAAGTCCAACAGGACCAGGTTTAAGAAACCCTGTGCAGACATTAGCGTAGATATACATGGATTAGAAAGGCAATAACGATACGGTGAAATTTACAACTAATCTACCAAAGGTCAAATCGGAGCTATTACCATGGGGGGGGGGGGACCAGGTATCTCTGCTTTCCTGAAGTGTGCGTCTTGTTTATGTACCTTCAGGGATTTGGAAGGAAATTACTGGTATATGGAAACTCCCTCTAGCCCATGGATACACCAATCTAACGTTTCACAATTTGTGGGGAGTAGTGAACGAGTGCACACTTCAGAAGGAAGGAGAGATTATTGGGATGCACCCTGGGATTGGATGAGAAGAGAGGGAGAGAAGAGTGACCCCTGACCTCTGACCTTGCCCTCACCTCAAAGTGTTCTCTGTTCTGAACGCTCTTCAGGGCTGACATCCAGTCCTCCATCTCTTTCCTGTTGTCCGCACACAGAATCAGCCGACGACACGGAGTGATGATCTACACAGAGAGAGAGAGAGAGTGAGTGAGTGAGAAGAGAGAGAGAGAGAGAGAGAGAGAGAGAGAGAGAGAGAGAGAGAGAGAGAGAGAGAGAGAGAGAGATAGAGAGCGAGAGAGAGAGAGAGAGAGATGAAGAGAAAGCGAGAGAGCAAGACACACAGTGCTCAGAGAAATGAAACCCGGGGTTGTGCAATGTCATGTGGCCAGGAAAGCAAACAGAGGAGGAAGCACATCCAGTCCCATGCTTAAAGCACTCCTACTGAATGGATGGGCCAATTTGAGTGTGTGTGAACAAATGTGACACAGAGATGTGAGCGTGGGTGAGTGTGTGTGCGTGCCTGTGTATTGTGTATCAGCCTTTTTAGATGTACGACTGTGCTTTTTGAGTGCTTGTTGTGCAGTTGTGCGTGAGTGAGCGGTGCGCAAGTGTGCTTGCGTGTATGTATTGATAGAATGATTGGGTCAGAAGAAGTGGATGAATGTGGGTAAGTAACGCTATTTCTACAGAGCGGACTTCAGTTTCCAATCCATTTCCTTTCCTCCATAGTTGCTTCACAAAGGGGCTCCTGTTCCCAGACGGATAAAAATAGTTGCATGCCTTTCCTCTCTGCCAGAGAGCAGCACCGCAAACAGGTACGTACTTAAGATGGCCCATCTACACACAGGCACATACCATAGACTTAATTAGAATTCTCCCCCTTTTTTTCTTTTTTTTGTGTGTGTGTGTATATATATATATATATATATATATACACACAAAACATTGTATGATTTTTAAGTAATTAATTTGCATTTTATTACATGACATAAGTATTTGATCACCTACCAACCAGTAAGAATTCCGGCTCTCACAGACCTGTTGGTTTTTCTTTAAGAAGCCCTCCTGTTCTCCACTCATTACCTGTATTAACTGCACCTGTTTGAACTCGTTACCTGTATAAAAGACACCTGTCCACACACTCAATCAAACAGACTCCAACCTCTCCACAATAGCCAAGACCAGAGAGCTGTGTAAGGACATCAGGGATACAATTGTAGACCTGCACAAGGCTGGAATGGGCTACAGGACAATAGGCAAGCAGCTTGGTGAGAAGGCAACAACTGTTGGCGCAATTATTAGAAAATGGAAAAAGTTCAAGATGACGGTCAATCACCCTCGGTCTGGGGCTCCATGCAAGATCTCACCTCGTGGGGCATCAATGATCATGAGGAAGGTGAGGGATCAGCCCAGAACTACACGGCAGGACCTGGTCAATGACCTGAAGAGAGCTGGGACCACAGTCTCAAAGAAAACCATTAGTAACACACTACGCCGTCATGGATTAAAATCCTGCAGCGCACGCAAGGTCCCCCTGCTCAAACCAGCGCATGTCCAGGCCCGTCTGAAGTTTACCAATGACCATCTGGATGATCCAGAGGAGGAATGGGAGAAGGTCATGTGGTCTGATGAGACAAAAATAGAGCTTTTTGGTCTCAACTCCACTCGCTGTGTTTGGAGGAAGAAGAAGGATGAGTACAACCCCAAGAACACCATCCCAACCGTGAAGCATGGAGGTGGAAACATCATTCTTTGGGGATGCTTTTCTGCAAAGGGGACAGGACGACTGCACCGTATTGAGGGGAGGATGGATGGGGCCATGTATCGCGAGATCTTGGCCAACAACCTCCTTCCCTCAGTAAGAGCATTGAAGATCGGTCTTCCAGCATGACAACGACCCGAAACACACAGCCAGGGCAACTAAGGAGTGGCTCCGTAAGAAGCATCTCAAGGTCCTGGAGTGGCCTAGCCAGTCTCCAGACCTGAACCCAATAGAAAATCTTTGGAGGGAGCTGAAAGTCCGTATTTCCCAGCGACAGCCCCGAAACCTGAAGGATCTGGAGAAGGTTTGTATGGAGGAGTGGGCCAAAATCCCTGCTGCAGTGTGTGCAAACCTGGTCAAGACCTACAGGAAACGTATGATCTCTGTAATTGCAAACAAAGGTTTCTGTACCAAATATTAAGTTCTGCTTTTCTGATGTATCAAATACTTATGTCATGCAATAAAATGCTAATTAATTACTTAAAAATCATACAATGTGATTTTCTGGATTTTTGTTTTAGATTCCGTCTCTCACAGTTGAAGTGTACCTATGATACAAATTACAGACCTCTACATGCTTTGTAAGTAGGAAAACCTGCAAAATCGGCAGGGTATCAAAAACTTGTTCTCCCCACTGTATATATATATATATACATATATACATATATACAGTACCAGTGAAAAGTTTGGACACACCTACTCATTCAAGGGTTTTTCTTTATTTGTACTATTTTTTTTCATTGTAGAATAATAGTGAAATAAACCTTTGAAATAACACATATGGAATATTATAGTAACCAAAAAAGTGTTAAACAAATTAAAATACATTTTATATTTGAGATTCTTCAAATAGCCACCCTTTGCCTTGATGACAGCTTTGCACACTCTTGTAATTCTCTCAACCAGCTTCATGAGGTAGTCACCAGGAATGCATTTCAATTAACAGGTGTGCCTTCTCAAGAGTTAATTTGTAGATTTTTTCCCTTCTTAATGCGTTTGAGCCAATCAGTTGTGTTGTGACAAGGTAGGGGAGGTATACAGAAGATAGCCCTATTTGGTAAAAGACCAAGTCCATATTATGGCAAGAACAGCTCAAATAAGCAAAGAGAAACGACAGTCCATCATTACTTTAAGACATGAAGGTCAGTCAATACGGAACATTTCAAGAACTTTGAAAGTTTCTTCAAGTGCAGTCGCAAAAACCATCAAGTGCTATGATGAAACTGGCTCTCATGAGGACCGCCACAGGAATGGAAGACCCAGAGTTACCTCTGCTGCAGAGGATAAGTTCATAAGTTACCAGCCTCTTAAATTGCAGCCCAAATAAATGCTTCACAGAGTTTAAATAACAGACACTTCTCAACATCAACTGTTCAGAGGAGATGTGAGTGTATGGATGATCTCCGCATGTGTATTTCCCACCGTAAAGCATGGAGGAGGAGATGTGATGGGGCTTTGCTGGTGACACTGTCAGCGATTTATTTTGAATTCGAGGCACACTTAACCAGCATGGCTACCACAGCATTCTGCAGCGACACGCTATCCCATCTGGTTTGGGCTTAGTGGGACTATCATTTGTTTTTCAACAGGACAATAACCCAACACACCTCCAGGCTGTGTAAGGGCTATTTTACCAAGAAGGAGAGTGATGGAGTGCTGCATCAGATGACCTGGCCTCCACAATCCCCCGACCTCAACCTAATTGAGATGGTTTGGGATTAGTCGGACCGCAGTGTGAAGGAAAGCAGCCAATAAGTGCTCAGCATATGTGGGAACTCCTTCAAGACTGTTGTAAAAGCATTCCTCATGAAGCTGGTTGAGAGAATGCAAAGAGTGTGCAAAGCTGTCATCAAGGCAAAGGGTGGCTATTTGAAGAATCTCAAATATAAAATATATTTTGATTTGTTCAACACTTTTTTGGTTACTACATGATTCTATATGTGTTATTTCATAGTGTTGATGTCTTTACTATTATTCTACAATGTACAAAACAGTAAAAATGAAGAAAAGCCCTTGAATGAGTACGTGTTCTAAAACCCTTGACCGGTAGTGTACATTTTACGGACACAATCTATTTTACAATAGTTATATTTTGTTTGTTTTTAGTCCTTCCTCTACCCTCAACCTCTCCCATTTATTTCTGATGATTTCTATTTGCCATATATTTGTAGGTGTGCTGTTTCACAAAAGTTCTGAACCTATATACATTTTACAGACACAGTATATTTTACATTTGTTATCTTGTTGTTATTAGTCCCACCCTTCAGCTCCATTCAACTCCTCCCATCTACAGTGGGGGAAAAAAAGTATTTAGTCAGCCACCAATTGTGCAAGTTCTCCCACTTAAAAAGATGAGAGGCCTGTAGTTTATCATAGGTACACGTCAACTATGACAGACAAATTGAGGAAATTTTTTCTAGAAAATCACATTGTAGGATTTTTAATGAATTTATTTGCAAATTATGGTGGAAAATAAGTATTTGGTCACCTACAAACAAACAAGATTTCTGGCTCTCACAGACCTGTAACTTCTTCTTTAAGAGGCTCCTCTGTCCTCCACTCGTTACCTGTATTAATGGCACCTGTTTGAACTTGTTATCAGTATAAAAGACACCTGTCCACAACCTCAAACAGTCACACTCCAAACTCCACTATGGCCAAGACCAAAGAGCTGTCAAAGAACACCAGAAACAAAATTGTAGACCTGCACCAGGCTGGGAAGACTGAATCTGCAATAGGTAAGCAGCTTGGTTTGAAGAAATCAACTGTGGGAGCAATTATTAGGAAATGGAAGACATACAAGACCACTGATAATCTCCCTCGATCTGGGGCTCCACGCAAAATCTCACCCTGTGGGGTCAAAATGATCACAAGAACGGTGAGCAAAAATCCCAGAACCACACAGGGGGACCTAGTGAATGACCTGCAGAGAGCTGGGACCAAAGTAACAAAGCCTACCATCAGTAACACACTACGCCGCCAGGGACTCAAATCCTGCAGTGCCAGACGTGTCCCCCTGCTTAAGCCAGTACATGTCCAGGCCCGTCTGAAGTTTGCTAGAGTGCATTTGGATGATCCAGAAGAGGATTGGGAGAATGTCATATGGTCAGATGAAACCAAAATATAACTTTTTGGTAAAAACTCAACTCGTCGTGTTTGGAGGACAAAGAATGCTGAGTTGCATCCAAAGAACACCATACCTACTGTGAAGCATGGGGGTGGAAACATCATGCTTTGGGGCTGTTTTTCTGCAAAGGGACCAGGACAACTGATCCGTGTAAAGGAAAGAATGAATGGGGCCATGTATCGTGAGATTTTGAGTGAAAACCTCCTTCCATCAGCAAGGGCATTGAAGATGAAACGTGGCTGGGTCTTTCAGCATGACAATGATCCCAAACACACCGCCCGGGCAACGAAGGAGTGGCTTCGTAAGAAGCATTTCAAGGTCCTGGAGTGGCCTAGCCAGTCTCCAGATCTCAACCCCATAGAAAATCTTTGGAGGGAGTTGAAAGACTGTGTTGCCCAGCGACAGCCCCAAAACATCACTGCTCTAGAGGAGATCTGCATGGAGGAATGGGCCAAAATACCAGCAACAGTGTGTGAAAACCTTGTGAAGACTTACAGAAAACGTTTGACCTGTGTCATTGCCAACAAAGGGTATATAACAAAGTATTGAGAAACTTTTGTTATTTACCAAATACTTAATTTTCCACCATAAGTTGCAAATAAATTCATAAACAAATCCTACAATGTGATTTTCTGGATTTTTGTTTCTCATTTTGTCTGTCATAGTTGACGTGTACCTATGATGAAAATTACAGGCCTCTCTCATCTTTTTAAGTGGGAGAACTTGCACAATTGGTGGCTGACTAAATACTTTTTTTCCCCCCTGTATCTCTTAACACCATCCATATTGGATTTCCATTTGCCATATATTTTTCAACGGTGCTGTGATGCTTCACAAAAGTTCTGAACCTTTCTATTTTCATAGTATCTACAGATTGTAAATTAAAGATAAACAGTTTTGCTAAAAGTATTATTATATTATTGATCGATTGTCTATGACTTTTCAAATCACCCAGTATTGCTATCTGCAGCGTTAGCGCCAAGTAAATGTTGCAATTCTTCAGCCATTCCTGGACCTGTGACTAAAAACAAGCTACATATGGACAGTACCAAAATAAATGATCTAATGACTGTCTCTTCGCAGCAAAATCTGCAGAGCTGGAAAGGTTGTATCCCCCATATATATATATATATATGGAGGATTGCAACCAATATAATATATATATATATATATATATATATATATATATATATATATATAAAAAACATTCTATTGGTTGCAAGAATTTTGTATAATAATTTAAATGGAAAAATTCTTCCGGCGTCGTTTTGCGTATCAGTTCATAAACCATGTGTCATGGAATTGGTACATCGAAAATCTCTTCCCAACTATTTTGCAATCTATATTGCACAGCTGTCAATTTTTTGTTCCTTAAATGAAACTGGTATATATTTTTATTTATCACGATTTTCTTTAAACCATTTTGGTCTTTAATGCAGGGCCAACAGACAAGTTCCTTACTTTTTCCCCCTTCCACTTGCCTCTTTAATTTTTGCAGTAATACTGCAATTAGTTGGTTGTAATTTTGGGTAGAGCAGACATTTCCATATATTTTTGTTAGCTGCATATGTGACATAGCTCCACCAGTCCTTTTTTGTTTTAATCAATTAGTATATTTGAGTTTAACCACAATATTTGTTGTATTATTAGTTCTGTCTTTTCTGGTGGATTAAACAAAAATTGCAACCAACTTTCTATGGTTTGTTTTAATAATAACTATATTTTGGAGATTATTTCGTTTTCAAATAACCAAAAGTGAGATGTTGTAATCTGAATAAAAGGAAAAAGGCCATTCTTGAACATGGGGTGAGACATTTTTAATAATTTGCTAGAGAACCAATTCGGATTTAAGAATAGCTTTTGTATGACTGACGCCTTTAGTGCGAGGTCTAATGCTTTAATATTTATCAATTTCTGCCCTCCGAATTCATATTCATTATTTAAATAGGCCCTTTTAATTTTGTCTGGCTTGCCATTCCAAATAAAATGGAATCTTTTTTTCTCATATAATTTAAAAACCAGGTCACTAGGTTTAGGCAAGATCAAAAGCAAATAGGTAAACTGGGATATGACTAAAGAGTTAAATCAGGGTGATTTTTCCACAAATAGACAGATATTTTCCTTTCCATGGTAACAAGATCTTATCTACTTTCTATTTAAATGTATTGTAGTGAGATCATTTCTTTATTTTGGGTTATGAACACTGAGTATGTCCACATCACCACCAGACCATTTTATTGGTAAACTACATGGTAATGTAAAAGTTGTATTTTTTAGTGATCCAATATGTAATATAGTACACTTTCATAATTTGGTTTTAATCCAGAGAGGTAAGAAAAAGTATCTAGATCCTCTATGAGGCTATGGAGGGATCCAAATTGTGGATTTAAAAGAAAACATGAATCATCAGCGTACAATGACACCTTTGTTTTTAAGCCCTAGAATTCTAACCACTTAATATTAATGTTGGATCTGATTGTAACAGCTAACATTTCGATGGCAATAATGAATAGTAATGCCAATAGTGGATAACCTTGTTTTACTCCTCTTGACAGTTTAAAACTTTCTGAGAAGTAGCCATTATTTACTATTTTACACATAGGGTTACTTTCCATAACTTTAACCCATTTTATAAGAGATTCTCCTAAATTTAAATTTTCCAGGCATTTATATATGTCGTACTTTATCAAAGGCCTTTTCAAAGTCAGCAATGAATACCAGGCCTGGTTTCACAGATTTTTCATAGTGTTCTATTGTTTCTAGTACTTGTCTTATATTATCTCCAATGTATCGTCCATGTAAAAGCCCTGTCTGATTAGGATTAATAATATCCGACAATAACTTTTAACTCTATGCGCTATAGCATTTTGCTATACATTTTGCATCACAAAACAGTGTAATGGACTGGATCTTTATATTTACCACTTGGATCCTGTTTCAGTAATAATGAAATCAGACCTTCTTGTTGAGTGTCTGATAATCTACCATTTATATAGGAGTGATCAAAACATGCTAATAACGGTCCTCTGAGTATATAAAAAAAGGTTTGGTATACCTCCACTGGTATGCCATCCAGCCCTGGAGTTTTCCCGGACTTAAAGGCTTTAATTGCATCAAGAAGTTCCTCCTCTGTAATTTGGCCTTCACATGAGTCTTTCTGTACAGCTGTTAATTTTACATTATTAATAGAAAATAAATCCAAACAATTAGCTTCGGTTAGTGGAGATGGAGCAGACAAATGAAAACATATGCTTGAAGTACTTCCTCTTTCAAAATATCATGACTCCTTCATTTGTAACAAGTTTCAGTTAATTATTTTTGGTAGCGTCTCTATGTTGAAGATTAAAAAATAATTTGGTGCATTTTCCCCATATTCCATCCAGTTTGCTTTATTTTTATAATATATTACACTTGACCTTTCTTGAATAAGTTCCTCCATTTATTTTTGTTTTTCCTCTAACTTATTCTGAGCCTCTATGGTACAGTTTTTATTGCTATCTATCTGTTGTTAGACCTTCTATTTCCTTTGTTAGTATGGACTCTTTTGCCCTAAATTGCTTTTGTTTTAGAGATGAGTACTGAATTGCATGGCCTCTAAAAGCACATTTAAAAGTGTCCCATACAATAAGGGGATCTGCTGTACTTATGTTATGTTGGATAAAGTCAGTTATAAATTATTCTGTCCTAGTTAAAAACAAGTCGTCATCATCCAATAGGCTTTGATAACATTTCCAATACCCTCGCCCAAGTGGAAATTCTGTAAGAGTAATATTATTGCCAATTATGTGATGGTCCGACCGCATTCTGTCCCCTATCAACACTTTTTAAACTTTTGGTGCCAGAGAGAGTGACATAAGAAAGTCATCAAGACAACTAGCTTGAATGAGCCTCCACCATGTATATCTCATTAGGTCAGGATATTTAAGCCTTCATATATCCACTAGTTCCAATATATCCATGACATTCGTGAAGTCCCTCAAAAAGTACAGTTGCCTACATCTAAAAAGGCTGATTTAACACACACACACACACACACACACACACACACACACACACACACACACACAGTCTTGTATTTGTGACCAATTTAACACACACACACACACACACACACACACACACACACACACACACACAGGAAGTCCAACTATGAGTTGTCCGCTCACTCTCTGGCATAGACTGTGGTTGAGTCCCAACTGGAACCATATTCCCTATATAGAACACTACTTTTGACCCTGGTCAAAAGTAGCACACTCACTAGACCAGGGGTTTCAAACTCATTCCATTGAGGGCCTAGTGTCTGCTGGTTTTTGGTTTTTCCTTTCAATTAAGACTTAGACAACCAGGTGAGGGGAGTTCCTTACTAATTAGTGACCTTAATTCATCAGTCAAGTACAAGGGAGGAGTGAAAACCTGCAGACATTTGGCCCTCCATGGAATGAGTTTGACATGTGCACTAGACACTTCTAGGCTATAGGCAGGGCTCTCCAACCCTGTTCCTGGCGAGCTACCGTCCTGTAGGTTTTCACTCCAACCCTAATCTAGCACACCTGATTCTAATAATTAGCTGGTTGATAAGCTGAACCAGGTTAGTTACAAATGGGGTTGGAGCAAAAACCTACAGAACGGTAGCTCTCCAGGAACAGGGTTGGAGACCCTTACTATAGAGAGATGGAGAGAAGATACAGCACCGATAAAGTGTAAGTGAGCCACAGCAGGGCTCTACAGTGCGACCATTTTACTCACATATGTGCCTAAATATTTTGCTGTGTGACCTGGAATGTTAATTTAGGAGCAGAGCCCTGCAAAGATGTGAAGACATAGATCGATATCTCGAGTACCCATGCACACACACATGCACAACCATGACCTTGACTCAACTTCATGTATCTCATGTATCATATGACTAAAGGGTTGTATTTCACTTACATAACAGACAAGGACTCGAGGCAGGCTGAGAAGAAGGGAGGGAGACGCACGCACACATCCTGTTTTCACTGCTACTCAACCAGCCAGGGACTCATTAAACCTTTCCCGGCAAGTCGGCAACAATGTTATCACTGATATTTTATCTCTGCAGCCTTAGCTAAAGGAGATACACCTACACGATAATGTCCATAGTCCAAGGATCCGGCCCTGGCTAGGTCAGAGGGCTGTCCTAGGGTGTATTCTCACTAGACAGCAAACGGGTCGAAACAGGGATACCTGAATTTGTCCAATAAGAAATACCCGCTTTCCTTACAAAACCTTTTCTGTTGCAAAAAGTTTTGCTGCGGTGTGCACTAATAAATGCACTCGTCCTGCCCTTCCTAGAGTATAGACCGGGTACTTCACATGAGGGAGTGGATAACACAAAGGGAACTGACAGTCAACCCACACACACACACACACACACACACACACACACACACACACACACATCAGCACATTTTAGAGCCAACTATAAACAACGTCATGACACACACACAGAAGGACAGAGGGAGAGTGACCAACTGGGGAAACACACATCTCTGTGCTCCCCCCACCCACTCTCATTCTTGACATTCTTCTGCCTTACTTCCAATGTGAAGTCCAGTCAAATTTGGCTCCAGCGGTTCTCCTTCTCTCTCCCTCACTCTACTCTCTTCTTCTCCAGACTGTGCCGAGTGTGCTCTGTTACATTTGGTCTGAGGTTTTCCTTTCCTGAAGAGTCCTCCTGACGAAGACTTGGACAGACAAGAGTTCTCCGTGGCTGGCTGAGAGTTCTATCTTATTTAAGAACTGTCCCGGGGTAGCCTCTCTCTCCAGAGTCCCGACAGAGGTACCTTCCGTTACTGCCTGGCTTTTCTTCCTTTTTTCCCTAGTCTGAGTGTTCTAGCCAGCAGAGAATTCCCAGAATTCCCTCAGTCGTTTCTTTCTGTGGCTCCCTGTAGCGGGAGGTTTTTCCAGAAGGGTTTTTCTTCTCTCCCAGCTCGGCTGTTAGCCTAGCCAGCTTAGCGGTGCTCTGACTGGGAGAGAGCCGGGAACCGTGGTGCAGGCCCCTCCCCCATCCGCCTGCATCTGTTCTCTGACTCACATATATAAACTTCCTGTCGTCAAGGTGATCCCACACAGGGGGCTGGAATGGAGGGAGGGGTGTGAGTAGGGGTGTTGAAGGCCACAAAGCAGCCCCTCTTTACAGCACAGAGAGAGAGGGGAAAGGAGAGCACTTCATTTGGTTGTCTGTAACTGAAAGGCCACCTTCGCCTGAGCTCAGACCTGGGTTCAAATACTATTTGAAATCTTCCAAATACTTTGAGTGTTTGCTTTAGCCTTCCTGGAGCGCCTTCCTGGAGTGCCAGATGTTTTGCGACTATTCTATTGGTTCCATTGCAGCAGTCAAGTTCAATCAAGCAAAACTAAAGTATTTGAAACTATTTCAAATAGTATTTGAACCCAGGTATGCCTGGACTTGGGCTGTCATCAACGAGAGACCAAGGAGATCTCCACTCCAGCCAGCGTGAGAAACCGATAAAAATAGAGCAGGAGGAAGTACCCTCTCTCTTTAACCTCAACACAGAAAATGCAACTCTGTGGACGCATTCGCATACTGTACATACTGTCAACATTCTCTGTCGCACACGCGCACACACACACACACTGTAAACACACAAACTCAAACACAAGCCACCACTCACTCACTGACTGTTGGTTAAGGGCTGTAAGTAAGCATTTCACTGTAATGTCTGCACCTGTTGTATTCGGCGCATGTGACCAATAAAATTTGATTTGATTTGATTTGATTTGACTAACACAGCTCCACCCAGTTATTAAATGTAAATGAGTCTGAAAGGGTCTTTCCATGTCATTTCAGCAAGCCATGACACCCACCATCTCAGATTGTTCTGAAATCATTTCTGTAGTTAGAAACAGATACGATAAGAATTCCTGCAACATTATTTTGTTGAAATATAATTTGATCTACCATAAATTAAGCTAATTGATCGCACCCAAATTGGACATTTTTAATTTATAGGATACATATAATATTCAATAATTATGGTACCTAACATCTAATAATGAGTAAGACATGAGGAATATAAATAAGTGGCCAAAAGCCATCCACGGACCCCCCACAACAATCCCACCCCAACAACGAGTATATAGTATCAGTTCTCTATGTTTGACAAATAGTATGGAGCTGTGGTTTGGAGTATTGTTTCTTCATCCTATGTAATATATTCCCAGTGAATTTGGTGATGTTTCCACCCCCTGTTCAGATACATTTGTCATTGAAGTTGTTGGGTTTATGTCCCAACCTACATCCTGCTATTATCAGGATCTGACCATTAGTTGGTGTTGTTCCTGCTATTAGGTTATATATATATATATATATATTTTTTTTTTAAGAATCAGTATGATTTAAGAATCAAGTACCTGGACCAGGTATGACAGCAACCCATGCTTTGGTTATGTTTATCTGGCCACTGTTTTAAATGATAACTTTTTCATCTATAAGTAACATCATTGAGTTACACAATAAAACATTTGTATACTTTAGGATGATTTGGACATGAAGCATGAACATGCTAATATAAGTACCATTGACTACAAAGTTAGCATTTGAAACAGTGGCCAGGTAAACAAAACCAAAGTATTGGTAGCTGTCATACCTGGTCCATAGACTATTTACAGGGTAAGAACATGTAATTTTGTAATTTGAACCTGGTAATATCAGGATGTAGAATGGGACAACAACTTCAATAGCTAGGTTTCCATCCAATTGGCGAACGATTTTCATGCGAATATAAAGCAAATTCCTCATAAAAACCATATGCGCATTTTCCCACCAGAGATGTGTTTCCATCAAATTGATTTGTTGTGGATAAAAGGATGTGCGTGATGACATAATACACTTAAAAATAACTTTTGCGGTTAAATTCGCATGTACTGAATACAAAATAAAAAATAAAAATAAAGTTAAAGGAAAAATCTACCCAAAACAACTAATTCCTATAATTTACAGTGTTACATAACAATATGTGAGAAAAATCTTGTTTGTGAACAAATGTTTCATTTTGGCATTATAATAAGTTTGGTAGCAACATGTGAAAATCGTTGTGGAAATCTGTTGCAGCTCGACAACAAAGCCCAAAATACAATGCTCTCTCTATGGGTTGGCTGGCTAGCTAGCAAGCAAACGTAGCTACACAGAATAATAACAAAGTCAATATCAGCATGTGAAGTAGCTAATTAGCTGTAAAATCACCTAAACAAACTGCACTATCAATTTAGGAGTCTACAATCTCACCAGGTTCAACCTGCAGATCGATGTGCCTCACAGAGTGGAGTCTAACATTTTATTTACCTTTATTTTTATCAGGGAGTCCTACTGAGACCAAGGTCTCTTTTACAGATGAGCCCTGAATCACATAAATTACAGAAAATTCACACATCAATATAAATTCAAAATGCAAGCAGAAAGAAAAACACGGTCATAAAAAACTAACACATTCATCAGTAATAAGGTCCTCAATCAGCTTTTTTAAATTGCCCAAAACATCACATTTAAGAACATTTTGAAGATTGTTCCACAAATAATGTGCAAGAAAACTAAAAGCTGATTTATCTATTTGCATGATTATGACATTCGCAACGGTACCATGCAATGCACCCTGGACTGAAGAGGCAGACAAATAGGAGAAATGTGTTAAGTTACACATTACACAATTACTCATTTCTCGAGGTAGGAATATCGCAAAAATATGATCAAAGCCTCATTCGAGAGAAGACAATCTCCCGCGTTATAAAATCGGCCAGTATTGAAATCTGACATGTATGATAGATGTTTTTGCGATCTAAAAGTAGTATTCTTATTTACTTCCAGTGTAGTGAGAGCGGGTTTACCGCAAGGCTACGTCACGCCGGCCGAAATACTGCCTGCTTGAATGGCAATAGCTCAGATACACATGAAAATATGAAATGACCCAGGGAATTGATAGAAGATGGCTCAGAGATGCACAAAAACAATATAACATTCAAAATGGGTTAATCTTTACTTTAAATGGGTTTCCAACTTATTTTCAACTCTACTGATGGTTTTGTTACAAAGAATGTTGCGTTATATAGCGAATGTGCCCACTCTGGTCTTGGCACGTGCGCTTTAGACAAAAGCTTGCAGACACAGTGTGGGTATAGCCTACATGATCAGATTATTATGGACATTATTTTATTTGTCAAATGGCAGCCAAGCATCAATCATCATGTCACTAGAATAAGACCCTCGATATTTATTGGAAAGGAGGATCAAACTCATCACTGTGCACTTTCACTACCCTGTGAAGTTCATCATAACTTATTTAATCTGCAGCTCCATTGTACTTGTCAAACAGAGAACTGATACTATATACTAGTTGTTTTGGTGGTATTGGCATGGGGAGTGGGGGGTCTGAGGGTGGCTTTTAAGCATTTCTTTGCATTTCTCATGTCTAACTCAGTTAGAGAAAAGTTTGGTCCAAATCGGATGTTAGGTACTATATGTATTGAATATTATATGAATCCTATAAATTAAAATGACCAATTTGGGTGAAATTAATTAGCTTAATATCTCAGAGATCAAATTATATTTCAACAAAATAATTTTGCAGGAATGATAACCTTATCTGTTTCTAACAACAGAAACGATTTCAGAACAATCAGATGGTAGGTGTCGAAATCCTCTTTCTTGTGCTTTTTGAGGTGGAACGACCCCAAAGGCAACCTATAAATACACTTCAAAGCCAGACTCTAAACTTATTTTGTGTCGTGATTTTTTGCAGAGAAAGAACCCCCTATTGCAGAGTAGCGTATGTGATGAAATGTTATTCATGTCATCAGGAAATGTTATCATTATCAACAGTCAGGAATTGTAAGTGATGAACACGGAGCGTAGGTTTGGTGATTTTACTGGTGTTCATCCTGCGGTTTGGTTGTCTGACCACTGCATGACCACATGATGATGAACCTTAGGTTAGAATGACCACGGCCGACACAAGGCTGATATATTGGTGGACAGTAGCCAAGAAACTTAAGAGATGTACAGAGAGAAAGACAGACAGGAAGAAAGGGGGAAAGAAAGTAAGAAAGAAAAAGAGGGGACTCACAGTGACTGTCACAGGCTGATATTTGGATGGACAGTAGCCATGAGAGACAAAAAAGATATAGCCTACAGACATAAGGACAGAGAGAAAGAAAAAGCAAAATAAGTAGGCTAAAGAAAGAAAAATATAGAAAAAAGGGACTCACTGTGAAACTGTTGTTGACGTTCTTAATGCTGGATTCGGCCACGCTTGCGTCTGTCAGGTCAACCTCATCAAAGATGATTGACTGAAGAGAAGAAAAAATGAGTTTTTTTTCTTTACATCATCCGACTGTTAGGTCTAAATCAAAAAGCTTGAAAATAGTCTGTGGAGAGGTACTACTGACCTCTTTTTATCAAGTGTAGAAAATAATGTGGCCTGTGTGGTCCAGGGGTTAGTGTCACTGACCCTGGCACATGTACAGCCTAGGCTTACAGAGTTGGCATGAGTTTGAATCTGATCCACTGTCCTTCTGACTCGTAATCCCTCCCATCTTTCCTGTCTCCTCTTCACTGTCTAAAAATAAAATAATTATATATACTACCAGACAAAAGTTTGGACACACGTCCTCTTTCAAGGGTTTTTCTTTATTGTTACTATTTTTTAAATTGTAGAATTATAGTAAATACATCAAAACTATGAATGGAATCAGGCAGTAACCAAAGAAGTGTTAAACAAATCAAAATATATTTGAGATTTGAGATTCTTCAAATAGCCACCCTTTGTCTTGATGACAGCTTTGCACACTCTTGGCATTCTCTTAACTACATGATTCCATATGTGTTATTTCATAGTTTTGATGTCTTCACTATTATTCTACAATGTAGGAAATAGTAAAAATTAAGAAAAACCCTTGAATGAGTAGGTGTGTCCAAACTTTGACTGGTAATCTATATATATATATATATATATATATATATATATATATATATATATATATATATATATATATATATATATATATATATATATATATATATATATATATATATATATATATATATATATACATACACACACACACACACACACACATATACACACACAGTGCCTTGCAAAGGTATTCATCCCCCTTGGCGTTATTCCTATTTTGTTGCATTACAACCTGTAATTTAAATGGATTTTTATTTGGATTTCATGTAATGGACATACACAAAATAGTCCAAATTGGTGAAGTGAAATGAAAAAAATAACGGACAAGTGGTGCGTGCATATTTATTCACCCCCTTTGCCATGAAGCACCTAAATAACATCTGGTGCAACCAATTACCTTCAGAAGTCACATAATTAGTTAAATAAAGTCCACCTGTGTGCAATCTAAGTGTCACATGATCTCAGTATACAGTTGGGGAAAAAAGTATTTAGTCAGCCACCAATTGTGCAAGTTCTCCCACTTAAAAAGATGAGAGAGGCCTGTAATTTTCATCATAGGTACACGTCAACTATGACAGACAAATTGAGGAAAAAAATTCCAGAAAATCACATTGTAGGATTTTTTATTAATTTATTTGCAAATTATGGTGGAAAATAAGTATTTGGTCACCTACAAACAAGCAAGATTTCTGGCTCTCACAGACCTGTAACTTCTTCTTTAAGAGGCTCCTCTGTCCACCACTCGTTACCTGTATTAATGGCACCTGTTTGAACTTGTTATCAGTATAAAAGACACCTGTCCACAACCTCAATCAGTCACACTCCAAACTCCACTATGGCCAAGACCAAAGAGCTGTCAAAGGACACCAGAAACAAAATTGTAGACCTGCACCAGGCTGGGAAGACTGAATCTGCAATAGGTAAGCAGCTTGGTTTGAAGAAATCAACTGTGGGAGCAATTATTAGGAAATGGAAGACATTCAAGACCACTGATAATCTCCCTCGATCTGGGGCTCCACGCAAGATCTCACCCCGTGGAGTCAAAATGATCACAAGAACGGTGAGCAAAAATCCCAGAACCACACGGGGGGACCTAGTGAATGACCTGCAGAGAGCTGGGACCAAAGTAACAAAGCCTACCATCAGTAACACACTACGCCGCCAGGGACTCAAATCCTGCAGTGCCAGACGTGTCCCCCTGCTTAAGCCAGTACATGTCCAGGCCCGTCTGAAGTTTGCTAGAGTGCATTTGGATGATCCAGAAGAGGATTGGGAGAATGTCATATTGTCAGATGAAACCAAAATAGTGTTTGGAGGACAAAGAATGCTGAGTTGCATCCAAAGAACATCATACCTACTGTGAAGCATGGGGGTGGAAACATCATGCTTTGGGGCTGTTTTTCTGCAAAGGGACCAGGACGACTGATCCGTGTAAAGGAAAGAATGAATGGGGCCATGTATCGTGAGACTTTGAGTGAAAACCTCCTTCCATCAGCAAGGGGATTGAAGATGAAACGTGGCTGGGTCTTTCAGCATGACAATGATCCCAAACACACCGCCCGGGCAACGAAGGAGTGGCTTCGTAAGAAGCATTTCAAGGTCCTGGAGTGGCCTAGCCAGTCTCCAGATCTCAACCCCATAGAAAATCTTTGGAGGGAGTTGAAAGTCTGTGTTGCCCAGCGACAGCCCCAAAACATCACTGCTCTAGAGGAGATCTGCATGGAGGAATGGGCCAAAATACCAGCAACAGTGTGTGAAAACCTTGTGAAGACTTACAGAAAACGTTTGACCTGTGTCATTGCCAACAAAAGGTATATAACAAAGTATTGAGAAACTTTTGTTATTGACCAAATACTTATTTTCCACCATAATTTGCAAATAATTGTCTGGATTTTTTTTTCTCATTTTGTCTGTCATAGTTGATGTGTACCTATGATGAAAATTACAGGCCTCTCTTATCTTTTTAAGTGGGAGAACTTGCACAATTGGTGGCTGACTAAATACTTTTTTCCCCCACTGTATATACACCTGTTCTGAAAGGCCCCAGAGTCTGCAACACCACTAAGCAAGGGGCACCACCAAGCAAGCGGCACCATGAAGACCAAGGAGCTCTCCAAACAGGTCAGGGACAAAGTTGTGGAGAAGTACAGATCAGGGTTGGGTTATAAAAAAATATCCCAAACTTTGAATATCCCACGGAGCACCCTTAAATCCATTATTACAAAATTGAAAGAATATGGCAAAACAACAAACCTGCCAAGAGAGGGCCACCCACCAAAACTCACGGACCAGGCAAGGAGGGCATTAATCAGAGAGGCAACAAAGAGACCAAAGATAACCCTGAAGGAGCTGCAAAGCTCCACAGAGGAGATTGGAGTATCTGTCCATAGGACCACTTTAAGCCGTACACTCCACAGAGCTGGGTTTTACAGATGAGAGCCAGAAAAAAGACATTGCTTAAAGAATAAAATAAGCAAACACGTTTGTGATCGCCAAAAGGCATGTGGGAGACTCCCCAAACATATGGAAGAAGGTACTCTGGTCAGATGAGACTAAAATTTAGCTTTTTGGCCATCAAGGAAAACACTATGTCTGGCACAAACCCAACACCTCTCATCACCCCGAGAACACCATCCCCACAGTGAATCATGTTGGTGGCAGCATCATGCTGTGGGGATGTTTTTCCATCGGCAGGGACTGGGAAACTGGTCAGAATTGAAGGAATGATGGATGCCGCTAAATACAGGGAAATTCTTGAGGGAAACCTGTTTCAGTCTTACAGAGATTTGAGACTTGGACGGAGGTTCACCTTCCAGCAGGACAATGACCCTAAGCATACTGCTAAAGCAACACTTGAGTGGTTTAAGGGGAAACATTTAAATGTCTTGGAATGGCCTAGTCAAAGCCCAGACCTCAATCCAATTGAGAATCTGTGGTATGTCTTACCAGAGTCATTCGTAGATGGCGGGAAGTAAGCTTGGCTTATACAGTGGGGAAAAAAAGTATTTAGTCAGCAACCAATTGTGCAAGTTCTCCCACTTAAAAAGATGAGAGATGCCTGTAATTTTCATCATAGGTACATGTCAACTATGACAGACAAATTGAGAAAAGAAATTCCAGAAAATCACATTGTAGGATTTTTTATGAATTTATTTGCAAATTATGGTGGAAAATAAGTATTTGGTCACCTACAAACAAGCAAGATTTCTGGCTCTCACAGACCTGTAACTTCTTCTTTAAGAGGCTCCTCTGTCCTCCACTCGTTACCTGTATTAATGGCACCTGTTTGAACTTGTTATCAGTATAAAAGACACCTGTCCACAACCTCAAACAGTCACACTCCAAACTCCACTATGGCCAAGACCAAAGAGCTGTCAAAGGACACCAGAAACAAAATTGTAGACCTGCACCAGGCTGGGAAGACTGAATCTGCAATAGGTAAGCAGCTTGGTTTGAAGAAATCAACTGTGGGAGCAATTATTAGGAAATGGAAGACATACAAGACCACTGATAATCTCCCTCGATCTGGGGCTCCACGCAAGATCTCACCCCGTGGGGTCAAAATGATCACAAGAACGGTGAGCAAAAATCCCAGAACCACACGGGGGGACCTAGTGAATGACCTGCAGAGAGCTGGGACCAAAGTAACAAAGCCTACCATCAGTAACACACTACGCCGCCAGGGACTCAAATCCTGCAGTGCCAGATGTGTCCCCCTGCTTAAGCCAGTACATGTCCAGGCCCGTCTGAAGTTTGCTAGAGTGCATTTGGATGATCCAGAAGAGGATTGGGAGAATGTCATATGGTCAGATGAAACCAAAATATAACTTTTTGAGAAAAACTCAACTCGTCGTGTTTGGAGGACAAAGAATGCTGAGTTGCATCCAAAGAACACCATACCTACTGTGAAGCATGGGGGTGGAAACATCATGCTTTGGGGATGTTTTTCTGCAAAGGGACCAGGACGACTGATCCGTGTAAAGGAAAGAATGAATGGGGCCATGTATCGTGAGAGTTTGAGTGAAAACCTCCTTCCATCAGCAAGGGCATTGAAGATGAAACGTGGCTGGGTCTTTCAGCATGACAATGATCCCAAACACACCGCCCGGGCAACGAAGGAGTGGCTTCGTAAGAAGCATTTCAAGGTCCTGGAGTGGCCTAGCCAGTCTCCAGATCTCAACCCCATAGAAAATCTTTGGAGGGAGTTGAAAGTCCGTGTTGCCCAGCGACAGCCCCAAAACATCACTGCTCTAGAGGAGAATCTGCATGGAGGAATGGGCCAAATACCAGCAACAGTGTGTGAAAACCTTGTGAAGACTTACAGAAAACGTTTGACCTGTGTCATTGCCAACAAAGGGTATATAACAAAGTATTGAGAAACTTTTGTTATTGACTAAATACTTATTTTCCACCATAATTTGCAAATAAATTCATAAAAATCCTACAATGTGATTTTCTGGATTTTTTTTCCTCATTTTGTCTGTCATAGTTGACGTGTACCTATGATGAAAATTACAGGCCTCTCTCATCTTTTTAAGTGGGAGAACTTGTATAATTGGTGGCTGACTAAATACTTTTTTTCCCCACTGTATGGTGTCGACTAAAGCTTAAACCATGTATTTAGATTGTAGGTAGGTAGGTATTGTAGTTAGGTATTGTAGGTAGTTTATCTAGGTAGTTATTGTAGGTAATTATTGTAGGTAAGTATTGTATTCGGCTGAGCCCGGTGAAGCACGAGGCTAGCTAACTCACTACCTGGACCAATAAAGCTAGCTAGCTAGCGGGTAGCTGCTGGTAACTATTAGCAACTGTGGATAGTTGTTTCCAATGTTATCTCACGCTTAAGAGTACCTGTCATTATGCCAGCTAGCTACCTACCATTCAGCTGTTTTTCTAACCTCATTATCTGAAGCGTTAACGTTAGGTAGTTAGTAGCTACTGTACTCGAAATTTAGCTACCTGGATAGCTAATTAAACAATAGCTGGAACGACCTAGCTTTAATATTTGGAGACGCGTTCTCTCCGTTGGGACAGACGCGAACTGGCTGAATCGATTCAGTGGCTAGCTTTGCACTTAACTGGCTAACAGTAGCTACTAAGGGTAAGTTATAACCTACATTTATTTTTGTTTTGTTTTTACATACTGGTAACCAGAGTCGTTCAAGGGAATTCGGGACATGGGTGACTAGTTAACGTTAGCTTGGCTCTCTGTGTGTTCGTGCCGTGGGAGGAGGGGTTAGCTCGTTGGCAGAGAGCAATGGCTAGCTAGTATGCTAACTATTCTAGCTAACTAACTGGCTGAATAAGTTGACGACGCACTCACTCAAACTGTCAAAACTAACCCAAAACTTAGACACGGACACAAATGATCTGCTTGGCGTGTTAACACACTGGTGGTTTGTTGTAACCGAGTATTGGTGCTAAACTGTGTTATTGGAGGCTGGCATGCTAGTTGGCTTTGGCGTCATAGGATTTGGTGCCCTGGACGGTTTTCATGGAAGAATACTGTACCAAGTTGCTAGCTGAATAAACTAAGTTAGTCTATTCCTAGAAACATTGAACCGCTGTAGTTAACAACAATTTATAATTTCTAAAGTGGAAGTTGGGAGAGTTATATTTGAGTGTTTCAGTGAAACGTAAGTGAGGGAGGCCCCGCTCTCTCGCTTTCCCAGATGTTTAGTTCATTTCATTCCGATCTCCTTTGCATTATTGTAACCTTTTTCTGTAGCCTGTCAACTATGTGTCTGTCTATCCCTGTTCTCTCCTCTCTGCACAGGCCATACAAACGCTTCACACCACGTGGCTGTTGCCACTCTAATCTGGTGGTCCCTGCACGCACGACCCACATGGAGTTCCAGGTCTCTGGCAGCCTCTGGAACTGCCGTTCTGTGGCCAACAAGGCAGAGTTCATCTCAGCCTATGCTACCCTCCAGTCCCACGACTTCTTGGCGCTGACTGAAACATGGATTACCACAGAAAACACTGCTACTCCTACTGCTCTTTCCTCGTCTAACCATGTGTTCTCGCATACCCCGAGAGCATCTGGTCAGCGCAGCGGTGGCACTGGAATCCTCATCTCTCCCAAGTGGACATTTTCTCTTTTTCCCCTGACCCATCTGTCTATCTCCTCATTTGAATTCCATGCTGTCACAGTCACTAGCCCATTCAAGCTTAACATCCTTGTCATTTATCGCCCTCCAGGTTCCCTTGGAGAGTTCATCAATGAGCTTGACGCCTTGATAAGTTCCTTTCCTGAGGATGGCTCACCCCTCACAGTTCTGGGTGACTTTAACCTCCCTACGTCTGCCTTTGACTCATTTCTCTCTGCCTCCTTCTTTCCACTCCTTTCCTCTTTTGACTTCACCCTCTCACCGTCCCCCCTACTCACAAGGCAGGCAATACGCTTGACCTCATCTTTACTAGAAGCTGTTATTCTACTAATCTCACTGCAACTCCCCTCCAAGTCTCCGACCACTACTTTGTATCCTTTTCTCTCTCGCTCTCCTCCAACACTACTCACTCTGCCCCTACTCAGATGGTAATGTGCCGTCGCAACCTTCGCTCTCTCTCTCTCCCGCTACTCTCACCTCTTCCATCCTATCATCTCTTCCCTCTGCTGAGTCCTTCTCCCTCCGATCTCTTGATTCTGCCTCCTCAACCCTCCTCTCCTCCCTTGGCAACCTGCCCGCTTGACCCTATCCCCTCCTCTCTTCTCCAGACCATTTCCGGAGACCTTCTCCCTTACCTCACCTCGCTCATCAACTCATCCTTGACCGCTGGCCATGTCCCTTCCGTCTTCAAGAGGGCGAGAGTTGCACCCCTCCTCAAAAAACCTACACTCGATCCCTCCGATGTCAACAACTACAGACCAGTATCCCTTCTTTCTTTTCTCTCCAAAACTCTTGAGCGTGCCGTCTCTAGCCAACTCTCCTGCTATCTCTCTCAGAATGACCTTCTTGATCCAAACCAGTCAGGTTTCAAGACTGGTCATTCAACTGAGACTGCTCTTCTCTGTGTCACGGAGGCTCTCCGCACTGCTAAAGCTAACTCTCTCTCCTCTGCTCTTATCCTTCTAGACCTATCCGCTGCTTTTGATACTGTGAACCATCAGATCCTCCTCTCCACCCTCTCCCGAGTTGGGCATCTCCGGCGCTGCTCACTCTTGGATTGCGTCCTACCTGACAGGTCGCTCCTACCACGTGGCGTGGCGAGAATCTCTCTCCGCACCACGTGCTCTCACCACTGGTGTCCCCCAGGGCTCAGTTCTAGGCCCTCTCCTATTCTCTCTATACACCAAGTCACTTGGCTCTGTCATATCCTCACATGGTCTCTCCTATCATTGCTACGCAGACGACACACAATTCATTTTCTCCTTTCCCCCTTCTGATAACCAGGTGGCGAATCGCATCTCTGCATGTCTGGCAGACATATCAGTGTGGATGTCGGATCACCACCTCAAGCTGAACCTCGGCAAGACGGAGCTGTTCTTCCTCCCGGGGAAGGACTGCCCGCTCCATGATCTCGCCATCACAGTTGACAACTCCATTATGTCCTCTTCCCAGAGTGCAAAGAACCTTGGCGTGACCCTGGACAACACCCTGTCGTTCTCCTCTAACATCAAAGCGGTGACCCGATCCTGCAGGTTCATGCTCTACAACATTTGCAGAGTACGACCCTACCTTACACAGAAAGCGGCACAGGTCCTAATCCAGGCACTCGCTGTTGGCTGGGCTCCCTGCCTGTGCCATTAAACCCCTACAACTTATCCAGAACACCGCAGCCCGTCTGGTGTTCGACCTTCCCAAGTTCTCTCATGTCACCCCGCTCCTCCGCACACTCCACTGGCTTCCAGTTGAGGCTCACATCTACTACAAGACCATGGTGCTTGCCTACAGAGCTGTGAGGGGCACAGCACCTCCTTACCTTCAGGCTCTGATCCTACACCCAAACGAGGGCACTACGTTCATCCACCTCTGGCCTGCTAGCTCCCCTACCTCTACGAAAGCACAGTTCCCGCTCAGCCCAGTCAAAGCTATTTGCTGCTCTGGCACCCCAATGGTGGAACAAGCTCCCCCACGACAGCGGAGTCACTGACCACCTTCCGGAGACACTTGAAACCCTACCTCTTTAAGGAATACCTGGATTTTTTTTTTTAAGTGGTTGTCCCACTGGCTATCTTAAGTTGAATGCACCAATTTGTAAGTCGCTCTGGATAAGAGCGTCTGCTAAATGATGTAAATGTAATGTAAATGTTATATCCAGCCAATGTAGGCCCCGTGTAGCTCAGTTGGTAGAGCATGACGCTTGCAACGCCAGGGTTGTGGGTTCGTTTCCCACGGGGGGCCAGTATGAAAATGTATGCACTCACTAACTGTAAGTCGCTCTGGATAAGAGCGTCTGCTAAATGACTAAAATGTAAATGTATGACTTAAAGATTACTGTACACCAGCGGAACCCATCCAACTTGAAAATCTGAGCGGCTAGATGTGCCAAGCTTATAGAGACATACCCCAAGAGACTTGCAGCTGTAATTGCTGCAAAAGGTGGCTCTACAAAGTATTGACTTTGGGGGGGGTCAATAGTTATGCAAGCTCAAGTTCAGTTTTTTTGTCTTATTTCTTGTTTGTTTCACAATGAAAAATATTTTGCATCTTCAAAGTGGTAGGCATGTTGTGTAAATCAAATGATAAAAAAAAAAAAAAAACTCAGCAAAAAAAGAAACGTCCCTTTTTCAGGACCCTGTCTTTCAAAGATAATTTGTAAAAATCCAAATAGCTTCACAGATCTTCATTGTAAAGGGCTTAAACACCGTTTCCCATACTTGTTCGATGAACCATAAACAATTAATGAACATGCACCTGTTGAACGGTCGTTAAGACACTAACAGATTACAGACGGTAGGCAATTAAGGTCACAGTTATGAAAACTTAGGACATCCGAACATCACACCTGCGGGACAGGTACAGGATGGCATCAACAACTGTCCGAGTTACACCAGGAACACACAATCATATGTAATATCAATAGAGATGTATACTTTCTGGGTGATTGAAATATTGACTAGCTTTCATCACGCTACCCACTAAAGAAAAAGCTTTAAACTGTAACTAGTGCCTGCAACCTGGTTCAGGTTATCAGTCAACCTACCAGGGTATTTACAAACAGCAGAGAAATTAAATCAACCACATTTATTGATCACATCTTTACGAATGCTGTAGAAATCCGCTCTAAAGCAGTATCCAAATCCATTGGATGTAGTGATCACAATATATAGTTGCCATATCTAGGAAAAACAAAGGCTGGGCCTAATATCGTGTATAAGAGGTCATACAATCTTTTTCGCCATGGCAGCTACCCACTGGGAAGACTCTGTCAAAAGTCTGAAAGGTGTGATTTTAGACATGATGCTGGGGAAGACGGCGGCACTCCAATTCCAGGCTCCGTAGAAGCGGTGAAAAGGCTAAAGGCGTCGGATCTGCAGCTGCGTTTCTGTACCAACGAGACCCAGGCCACACGGGAGGAGTTTGTAGCCAAGCTGCAGAGGATGGGCTTTGATATCTCGGTGTCTGAGGTGTTCTCCCCAGCCCCGGCTGCCGTGGCTGTCCTGAAGGAGAGGGGGCTACGACCCCACCTACTGGTCTATGATGGTGTTGTCCCTGAGTTTGACAGTGTTGAGAAGGCCAACCCAAACTGTGTTGTCATAGGAGACGCAGCAGAGAAGTTCTCCTACCAGAACCTCAAACGATGCCTTCAGAGTTCTCATAGGGCTGGAAAAACCAGTGCTGTTCTCTCTGGGCAGAGGGAAGTACGTGGTCCTCTGTAGCTCAGCTGGTAGAGCACGGCGCTTGTAACGCCAAGGTAGTGGGTTCGATCCCCAGGACCACCCATAGACAAAAATGTATGCACGCATGACTGTAAGTCGCTTTGGATAAAAGCGTTTGCTAAATGGCATATTACTACAAAGAGGATGACGGCTTGAAACTGGATGTTGGGGTTTACGTGAAGGCACTGGAGTATGCCTGTGATATAGAAGCTGAGGTCATTGGGAAGCCAGACCCCATGTTCTTTCAGAAAGTTCTAGATGACATGGGGATTCAGTCACACCAGACTCTGATGATTGGTGAATGATGTGGGCGGGGCCCAACACTGTGGAATGAAGGGTGTCCAAGTGAGGACAGGAAAATACAGACCCAGTGATGAGAAGCACCCCACAGTGACAGCTGATGGCTATGTGGACAACCTGGCGGAGGCTGTGGATACCATCCTGAAGCTCCGGGGCCAGTGAGGAGAGGACCAGGAAGAACCACCCTCACCACCACAATACACCATACACACACAATTACTGACTACTACTAGTACGACCTGACAACAGGGAGTAACCCACTAACATAGAGAGCCATGGAGGAGATAGAAGAACAGTCTTATAAGAGATAGAGCCATGTTGGAGCCAAGATGGAGGAGATAGAAGAACACTTTCTTAAAAGAGATAGAGCAAGAGAAGGTACTGTAGAAACATAGTTCAAGTAGCCCGTCTTTGCTAGAGCAAGAGAGCTATGCAGGATGATACTGGGTCAGAGGGTAGCTAGTTAGGTAAGTTAATAACCTCATGGTCAGAGGGTAGCTAGTTAGGTAAGTTAATAACCTCGTGGTCAGAGGGTAGCTAGTTAGGCAAGTTAATAACCTCGTGGTCAGAGGGTAGCTAGTTAGGTAAGTTAATAACCTCATGTTTACCTGAAGGTGCCTAAAGCCAGTTGTCTGGCCTCTTTACACAATGAGTGTAGACTATAATGGAATCCATCCTATAGCTCTATTTCACACAGTCAACTGCTTTAGAGTATCAATCAATCAGCAACCCTAGCTCTGAGGGGTCTCTGTGTACACACTGGGACCGCATTACCGTAATGACTATGGATGTTGATTTTCTCATTGCTATGCTAATAATGAAACAATGTAGCATTTATAACATTCAGAGTAGAGGTCAGGACATTGATAAGGACGTTGACGTTGTGCAATAAAAATTCCTGATGGACTCCGTTGGCTCACTGCCTCTGGTAATGTAGTCATGTAGATGCCGCTGTGGCTTGGACTGGTGTGTAGAGAATCTATATCTGCTACTAGTGTTCTCATCCTCACACACACACACACACACACACCCATACACACAACCTTGACACAGTTAAAGAGCAGGACAGAACCTTGACAGAAGCTTTGACTAATCACATTCTGAAGGGTTCTAGAACAGGAGAACAATTTATCCTGAACACTCCAAGAGATGTTGAACATCTTTGTCTTCTCTTTAGTCATTTTGTTCTGCCAAATCTTGGTGGGAGCCATTGTCATCATAGACTGTTTTTAAGTGCTCAAGGCCCTAGTGTGTGTGTTGTGTGTGTGTGTGTGTGTGTGTGTGTGTGTGTGTGTTTGTGTGCGCACAGCCTTGGCCCTGAGTTGTAGCCGAGTTCATATCCCAACAGTCTTTGTTAGACTACAACAAGCCATTGGAAGTGGGAGGAGTCTGTGGGTGAGATGGTCAACATTGGAAGTGGGAGGAGTCTGTGGGTGAGAGACGGTCCACATTATAACTAGGGATGTGGTGCTGCCGTGGCGCGGTGGAGCGGCTCTCCCTCACTGTTTTCAATTTGAGAATAGACGGAGCTGGTAAAAATATTTCTGAAAAAATGTATTCTGATAAATTCTGAATAAATTATATTGAATTACCACAAAAATTCCATGAAAATGATAGAATGTGTAGGCTATAGCAGCCTATATGTAGGTAAATGGTGGTTTCTTCCCTGTCTGAATGTGTAGGCTATAGCAGCCTACCAGAAACCTACCACTTCTACTGCAAATGTAGACTAACTGATCCACCCTGCTGTCAGAGTGCTTAGCTTACAGAAACCTACCACTTCTACTGCGTTTGCAGACTAACTGATCCGCCCTAGTGCTTAGCTTACAGAAACCTACCACTTCTACTGCGTTTGCAGACTAACTGATCCGCCCTAGTGCTTAGCTTACAGAAACCTACCACTTCTACTGCGTATGCAGACTAACTGATCCGCCCTACTGTCAGAGTGCTTAGCTTACAGAAACCTACCACTTCTACTGCGTATGCAGACTAACTGATCCACCCTAGTGCTTAGCTTACAGAAACCTACCACTTCTACTGCGTATGCAGACTAACTGATCCGCACTACTGTCAGAGTGCTTAGCTTACAGAAACCTACCACTTCTACTGCGTATGCAGACTAACTGATCCACCCTAGTGCTTAGCTTACAGAAACCTACCACTTCTACTGCGTATGCAGACTAACTGATCCGCCCTACTGTCAGAGTGCTTAGCTTACAGAAACCTACCACTTCTACTGCGTATGCAGACTAACTGATCCACCCTAGTGCTTAGCTTACAGAAACCTACCACTTCTACTGCGTATGCAGACTAACTGATCCGCCCTACTGTCAGAGTGCTTAGCTTACAGAAACCTACCACTTCTACTGCGTATGCAGACTAACTGATCCACCACACCAATGAGCTCTAGGATCCAAATTCACAGTGTCTGCCTTGATGTTCATAAAACTCCACGGACCCCCTCTTGCGATGTGGAGCCCCGAACGATATGTGACCACTTGGTTACGGTGCTGTCCTTTCAGCATCACTTAAAGTAACCCTAATAATCATGCCTAATAGTCCTACTCATTTAGTTTTACTATAATTATTGCAAATAAAATATAACTTATCACAATGGTACTTGTTTAGTCAAGTTAGAGCAAAGCTGAATTAGTCTCGTAATGATTCATTAGTATATGATTAAGTAGCCTATTTGACATAACATAACCTAATATAATAGCAGTGTAGCATAGTATGCCTGTAAGATGTTACACCAAAAGCACCTCTTCAGTCATTTTTTATCTGAAGCTGAATAGTCAAATGTTTTCCTCGTGGATGATGCGTCCAAAAATCAACAGAGCACGCAACTAGGAGCTACACCACTGATAACTCAGCTGAATGCAACGCCAGGGTTGTGGGTTCATTTCCCACGGTGGGCCAGTATGAAAATGTATGCACTCACTAACTAAGTCGCTCTGGATAAGAGCGTCTGCTAAATGACTAAAATGTGAATGTAAATACAATAAGTTTTGTAGTGATTCCTATGTTGAAGATGTAAAGAATATTTGCTGGTCTGTGGTGTGTAATGACGGGAAACCAGACGCTGCACAATTTATGAAATTGCTTATTCCAGTTACTAATAAGCATGCACCCATTAAGAAAATGACGGTAAGAAATGTTAAATCCCTGTGGATTGATGAGGAAATGAAAAATTATATGGTTGAGAGGGATGAGGCAAAAGGAATGGCAAATAAGTCTGGCTGCACAGACAATTGGTACAGATAGATCACAAAACCCACTGATATTACCAACTACTTTAATGATTTTTTTCATTGGAAAGATTACCAATTTAGGCATGACATTCCAACAACAAATTCTGAATCTCCACATCAATGCATAACTGACCAAATTATGAAAGACAAGCATTGTAATTTTGAATTCTGTAAAGTGAGTGTGGAAGAGGTGAAACAATTATTGTTGTGTATCAACAATGACAAGCCACCTGGGTCTGACAACATGGATGGAAAATTACTGAGGATGATAGCATATGACATTGCCACTCCTTTGGAAAAAATGGTGTTTGACCAGATACAATGCTATTTCACAGTAAACAAATAAACAGATTTTCAGTACGATACTTACAAAAATGACTGATGATAGGCTGAGAGAAATGTATAATAAAAAGATTGTGGGAGCTGTTTTGTTAGACTTCAGTGCAGCTTTTGACATTATCGATCATAATCTGCTGCTGGAAAAACGTATGTGTTATGGCTTTACATCCCCTGTTATATTATGGATCGACAGTTACCTGTCTAACAGAACACAGAGGGTGTTCTTGAATGGAAGCCTCTCTAACATAATCCAGGTAAAGTCAGGCATTTCCCAGGGCAGCTGTCAAGGCCCCTTACTTTTTCAAATCTGTACTAATGACCTGTCACTGGCTCTGAGTAAAGCCTGTGTGTCTGTCAGTGGTGATTTTAAGTGGGATGCATGCCAGCAAAGCCACTACACAACACAACACAAGACTAAACAATACATTAACTGCACTATAACGGTGACAAACGGTGCCCACAAACTGTTAGGGCCTAGATAAAGCTGTCCCAACACCTTACCACTGCTACACCTGGCTATCAGCAGAGCCTTGTCTGACAGTGAAACAGTTCATTCAGCCTAATTTACTGCCTTTAAAAACAACATAGCTGATATGGCTGACTTGCTTAAACAAAATGTGGTTTCTACTGACAATTGAGATGTACAAACTATGGCATAAGGGGACAACAAGCGGATAAAAGGCAATCCGTCATTTCGATTAAGACATTAATGAACGAGCTAGGAGGGACGTAGTCAATATAATTATTTGTTCAGCACTTGAAATGTACAGCGACAGAATTCAGAACATGGGCCATTCTTACACTGTTCTCCCTGTACACCATGTCAGAACCGTAGGATAAATAAAGGGGGCATATAAGCAGACAATGTAATCAATATTCGATGATTACTTTCTTTAAAACAGGTTATAGGCTACATGTGCACCACCAAGTCAGAACAGTAGGCGAAATTAAGAGGGGGTAAAGGGACCAAATTATTAGGGCTACTAACAGCTTACTACACAACATACACTTAGTATTACATTCTTAGCTACAGTATACATATCTCCCTGGCATATTACATAATTTTAGCAGCAGCATACAATACATTTATGGACTCACCTTGTTGTGCTGTGCTCACTTGAACAGGAAGGTGGCGCGGCGGTCCTTCATGGGCAAATTTTGTCATCAAACTTTGTAATCAAAGTCTGGCATTCTCTGGATTTATGGTGCTTTCAAGACAACTGGGAAATTGGAAAAAAAACAAGGTCGAATCATGATGACGTCAGTGATCTTCAGGTCGTAGCCCTAGAAAGAGGCCAGAGTTTCCGATTTACAATTCCGAGTTGGATGACCGTTGAAAACGTTTTTTTCCCAGTAGGAGCTCATTTTTTCCAGAGTTCTCAGTTGTCTTGAACTCACTGAAGTCAGATTTCCCACTTTCGAGTTAACAGTTGTTTTGAGCGTGGCACAAATCATGCTTCATTGACAGCATGGCCAATATTGAATGTTTATCATTTTAAGCTTGGAAAGAATACCCTTAATCGCAGACTTGGGACCACACAGCCAGTCCACTGAATAGCAGGCTAGTGATTGCTTTGCAATGCTTGCAGTTAGCCACTGATTCCTATAATTTCTCTTCATTATTTCTCTTCATATGACAAGGATTAAAAAGGATTTGCCACTAGATTGTCAACTTGATTCATGATGATGACTGCTAGATAAGATCAGTCCAATCATGATCAGTCCAATCAAAGCTACTGTAGATATAACGTGATTTGAGATGTAATTTTATCTGTGGCCAATGATCTTGAGCCTTCTTGGATGGGCACTTCTAATGTAACTCTATGGCAGCACCCAAGGGGCTTGAATGTTCGAACGCTACCCTTAGACTTGGCGGTGACGTAGTGTCCACATGAGTGACAGAAAACTGAGACAATCACAGCGCAACTAGGGAACATTACCAACCCCTACGCTCTGGCTGCCCCACCACCACAGAAAGCACTGAGCTAGGCTGAAATACCTGCATTTTGGAGCTGCCTTACTCAAGAAAGCCAAAAAGAGACCATGTTTGTATGCGGCTTTATTAACTATTAAATGTTGTTTTGTTTTTTACATTGTTTGCAAACTGATATGTGGCACGTATTAATGCCAAAATAACATGCAAAACAGGCAATCTTTTTTTATAGCACCTGCCCTGAATGACGGGTCGCCACTGGTGTCTATGTATGCTGATGACTCAGCTACCACAGCAAGCAAAATCACTGCAACACTTAACAAAGAGCTGCAGTCAGTTCCAGAATGGGTGGTATGAAATAAATGAGTCCTACATATCCCAAAAACTAAAAGCATTGTATTTTGGACAAATCATTCCCTAAACCCTAAACCTCAACTAAATCTTGTAATGAATAATGTGGAAATTGAGCAAGTTGAGGAGACTAAACTGCTTGGTGTAACACTGGATTATAAACTGTCATGGTCAAAACATATTGATGCAACAGTAGCTAAGATGGGGAGAGGTCTGTCTATAATAAAGCGCTACTCTGCCTTCTTAACAACGCTATCAACAAGGCAGGTCCGACAGGCCCTAGTTTTGTCGCACTTGGACTACTGTCCAGTTGTGTGGTCAGGTGCCACAAAGAGGGACTTAGGAACATTTTAATTTGCCCAGAACAGGGCACCACGGCTGTCCCTTATATGCACACGGAGAGCTAACATTAATAATATGCATGTCAATCTCTTCTGGCTCAAAGTAGAGGAGAGGTTGACTTCATCACTACTTGTATTTGTGAGAAGTATTGACATGTTGAATGCATGAGCTGTCTGTTTAAACTACTAGCACACAGCTCAGACACCCATGCATACCCAAGACATGCCACCAGAGGTCTTTTCACAGTCCCCAAGTCCAGAACAGACTATGGGAGGTGCATAGTAATACATAGAGCCATGACTACATGGAACTCTATTCCACATCAAGTAACTCATGCAAGCAGTAAAATCTGATTTAAAAAAAAACTGATAAAATACACCTTATAGAACAGCGGGGACTGTGAAGAGACACACGCATACACATGATAACATATGCACTATACACACACGTACACATGGATTTTGTGTTGTAGATATGTGGTAGTAGAGTAGTGGCCAGAGGACACACACTTAACGTGTTGTGAAATCTGTTGAGAAATGTACTGTAATGTTTTAAAAAATATATATATAACTGACTTAATTTTGCTGGACCCCAGGAAGTGGTGATAGATAATAAATACAAATACGTGATTATGTCCCAATACTTTTGGTCCCCTAAAATGGCTGTATTTCTAAACGGTTCACCCGATATGGATGAAAATACCCTCAAATTAATAGTAATTGTATCATTTCAAAACCAAAGTGCTGGAGTACAGAGCCAAAACAAAAAAATATGTGTCACTGTCCCAATACTTTTGGAGCTCACTGTATATATAAAGAGTAAAGATTTATACCAACCTTGGCAGTCTGGGCATAGTAAAGAGTCTTCCCACGCAGTTTGAAGTAGCGTCTCTTCCAGCGCTGGAACGAGTTGGTCTGCTTTATCAATTTGCCCTCCTTCAGGATTGTCTGCACAGGAGGACAACATAGGGAGACTAGAGTCAGAGACGTACCATCCTCCCAAACACACACACACACGCACGCACGCACAAACACAACCACCAGTGATGCATGGGACCATCCATGTGCAGCCTTATCAAAACATCAACCCCATGACTATATAAAAGGGTAATAATATAATATCATTGTGAACCACACAACCTTCTCTCGGGAACGGCCGTGAAATAGGGTGTATAATCCCCTCAGAGCTGCACTAACAATGCCAGCCATTCATGACGTCTGAACGATGTCTCTAAGCAAACGCACTCAACGAGCTATATGAGGCCATAAGCAAACAAGAAAATGCTCATCGAGGCAGCGCTCCTAGTAGCCGGGGATTTTAACGCTGGAAAACTGACATCCGTTTGATCTAACTTCTACCAGTTACTAATCTCGCCCTCCATTTGGCAAATCTGACCATAACTATATCCTCCTGATTCCTGCTTACAAGCAAAAACTCAAACAGGAAGTACCAATACTCAATACGGAAGTGGTCCGATGAAGCGGATGCTAAGCTACAGGACTGTTTTGCTAGCACAGACTGGAATATGTTCCGGGATTCATCCGATGGCATTGAGGAGTATACCACATCAGTAACTGGCTTCATTAATAAGTGATTCGAAGATGTCGTTTCCACAGTGACCATACATACATATCCCAACCAGAAGCCATGGATTACAGGCAACATCCGCACTGAGCTAAAGGCTTGAGATGCCGCTTCAAGGAACGGGACACTAATCCGGAAACGTATAAGAAATCCCGCTAAGCCCTCCAACGAACCATCAAACAGGCAAAGCTTCAATACAGGACTAAGATCGAATCCTACTACACCGGCTCTGACGCTCGTCGAATGTGGTAGGGCTTGCAAACTATCACGGATTACAAAAGGAAACCCAGCCATGAGCTGCCCAATGATGCGAGCCTACCAGACGAGCTAAATTCCTTCTATGCTCGCTTCGAGGCAAGCAACACTTAACCATGCATGAGAGCACCAGCTGTTCCGGACGACTGTGTGATCACATTTTCCATAGCCGATGTGAGTAAGACCTTTACACAGGTTAACATTCACAAGGCTGCGTCGCCAGACGGATTACCAGGACGCATACTCAGAGAATGCGCTGACCAGCTGGCAAGTGTCTTCACTGACATTTTCTAACTCTCCCTAACCCAGCCTGTAATATGTACATGTTTCAAGCAGACCACCATAGTCATAGTCCCTGTGCCCAAGAACGCCAAGGTAACCTGCCTAAATGACTACCGCCCCGTAGCACTCACATCTGTAGCCATGAAACGCTTTGAAAGTCTGGTCATGGCTCACATCAACACCATCATCCCAGAAACCCTGGACCCACTCCAATTTGCATACCGCCCCAACAGATCCACAGACGACGCAATCTCTATTGCACTCCACACTGCTCTTTCCCACCTGGACAAAAGGAACACCTACGTGAGAATGTGAGAATGCTGTTCATTGACTACAGCTCTGCGTTCAACACCCTAGTGCCCTCCAGGCTCATCACTAAGCTAAGGACCCTGGGACTGAACACCTCCCTCTGCAACTGGATCCTGGACTTCCTGGCGGGCCACCCACAGGTGGTGAGGGTAGGCAACAACACATCCGCCATGCTGACCCTCAACACGGGGGCCCCTCAGGGGTGCGTGTTTAGTCCCCTCCTGGCCACGCACAACTCCAACACCATCATTAAGTTTGCCGACGACACGACGGTGGTAGGCCTGATCACCGACGACGATGAGACAGCCTATAGGGAGGAGGTCAGAGAACTAGCAGTGTGGCGCCAGGACAACAACCTCTCCCTCAACGTCAGCAAGACAAAGGAGCTGATCGTCGACTACAGGAAAAGGAGGGCCGAGCACGCACCCATTCACATCGACGGGGCTGTAGTGGAGCGGGCCACCCAAGTCATAGATTCTCTCTGCTACCGCACAGCAAGCGATACCGGAGCGCCAAGACTGGAACCAAAAGGCTCCTTAACAGCTTCTACCCCCAAGTCATAAGACTGTGAACAGTTTATCAAATGGCTACCCGGACTATTTGCATTGACCCCCTTACTTTAATGTAATTTTTTTGCACTGACTCTCTTGCACAGGCTCGATGTACACTCATTGGACTCTAACTACACACTCACACATACTACACTGACACCAATACACACACACACACACATTCCTTCAAATATGCTGCTGCTACTCTGTTTATTATCCATGCATAGTCACTTTACCCCTACCTACATGTATCAATTACCTCGACTACCCCGTACCCCTGCACATTGACTCTGTACAGGTAATCCTTCTATATGTTATTGTTATTTTATTGTGTTACTATTTTTCCTTTAGTTTATATAGAAAATGTTTCTTATTATTATTATTATTTTTACTCTGCATTGTTGGTTAAGGGCTCATAAGTAAGCATTTCACCTGTTGTATACGGCGCATGTGACAAATAACATTTGATTTGATTTGAATTCGTAACACATCATACGTTTTGCAAATTCATGACATATTATATATGTTTTGCATATCATACAAAATTAATGATGGGCATTCACAAACTAATACATACCATACGAAAAGTACCATATCATACTAAATGGAGTGTCCGGATTTAGGAAAATAATAATACGAAATGTTCTGAGACCACTGGGCACACACTGGTTGAACCAACATTGTTTCCACGTCATTTCAATAAAATTACATTGAACCAACGTGGAATAGACGTTGAATTAACGTCTGTGCCCAGTGGGTTATTTCATCGGCAATTGTGACTCGTTTCAGGAAACGAGGCATATGTCGCAGGTTACTACTTTACAGGACAGGCATTTGAACGTAAACATTTATGGTTTTATCAAAATGTGTTTCTTGGCAAAAATCCCTTTTGGAACATGTGAACTTTCATGTGCCTTAATAACAAACTTGTATTCCATCCATAAATACAAATACAATTGTTAAATTATGAGCCTAGTTGGTTTAGCCATGGAAAAAGACAGGAACCTTCCCGCTAGCCATGATTGGCTGAGATACTTGATGGGCTGGACATACCGGGAGTTGAGTTTGGAATGGTCTGCCATGTAGCATGCTTCTGTCTATAGTGTGAGCTGTTCAATATGTGTTGACAGTCCTTTCTACCGCGCCGTTTTTGAAAGATATAACGTTAGCCATCGAGAACTACAAAAGTTTTGCTACTTTTCTCAACATTGATGCCCTGAATTTAGCAGGCGCTATCGTCAAATCAGTTGGAAAAAGTGATGGGCTACTTTCTGCACATGCCACGGTCAGTGTGAACCGGAGTGACTTGACACAATGCTAGCCAAACAAGATGTAGCTACAAACAAAACAGAGTTAAATGGTTCCAGTCTGCCGTGAAGTGTTCATCCATTTATACGGTTAAGAGTCTAGCTACATTTTCAGATATAAGTTTTGAATGTTGTCAGAAAGTCGTTTTTATTGGAAGTTAAAGCGTACTGTTAGTTAGCTAGCAAACATTTGCTTGCTGGCTCGCTAGCTAACGTTATGTGTATGATCTGTGTAGTAATATTATTCTAATCAGAAACCCATTTGCATTGCTAGTTATAGCCTAATGTTAGCTAGCTAACATTGAACCTAGTTTGTTAGCTTTAGCTACCTGCAGATTCATACTACAGCTATGACAATGTTTGTATCGGTAGTAGTATGAGTTGGGATTATGCCAGTTCATTGTTTAGCTAGCTAGGTAGCTAGCTACATGTCTAAATAAAAGACTCCACTTCGGCCGGATTATTACATGACCCATCAAATTAGCCAGGCGTGTCTGGGGGTGATTACGGCCATCTATTGTATTTCATGAACATGTGTACATGTCTAGACTATAGTGACCCATCCACTTAGCTAGATATGGCTTGGGGGTGGTTATAGCATTTCCTTCACATGACCCATCAATTTAGACAAGTGTGTCGGATAAGCATAATCTAATAATGATAAAATATTTGTATCTGGACACTTTCTGTTTTTGATATTGCACTTCACTGTACCGTTTACACCTTCTGTATCCTGTGCATGTGACAAATAAACTTAGATTTTATTTGATTTAGGGTGTGTTTACCACAAGGCCTCACGTGTGAATCCTTAAAGAGATGGGTGGGGCTAATGCTTAAGAAGGTGTGAATGATGCTGAATGGGTGTAGACAAAGAAGAGCTCTCTAGCAGGTGTACCAAAAGATTCAAGGGCCATTTTCTCAAAAGCGTTTCAACATTCAACAAGTTTATCAACATTCAAAGCAACATTACTTTCCCATTGTTCCTCAACTGCAGTGTATGATATATCATTTTCTAGCTCTGAGTCTCTACTTGCATCCAATGTAAAAAACACCATTTCTAATTTTGCTACATAAGATCGAATCGATGCGGTCGGTCACAATTATTCTTCTGCTATTCATTCTGTTATCAATAATATTAACATGTTAATAGTATTTTTTTATTACAATTATTATGCCTCATCTTTTAACTAAATGCATCTTTTAACTACACTGAACAAAAATATGAACGCAACATGTAAAGTGTTGGTCCGCTGTTCCATGAGCTGAAATGAAAGATCCCAGAAATGTTCCATACGCACAAAAGGCTTATTTCTCTAAAATGTTGTGCACAAATTTGTTTACATCCCTGTTAGTGAGCATTTATCCTTTGCAAAGATAATCCATCCACCTGAAAGGTGTGGCATATCAAGAAGCTGATTAAACAGCATGATCATTACACTTTGTTCTGGGGACAATAAAAGGCCACTGTAAAATGTGCAGTTGTGTCACACAACACAATGCCACAGATGTCTCAAGTTTTGAGGAAGCGTGCAATTGGCATGCTGACGCAGCAATGTCCACCAGAGCTGTTTCCAGATAATGAAATGTTCTGAAACAAAGCTGAAAATGTCCCAGCTCTTCCATAATATGCCATTTATAATATGCCATTTAGCAGACGCTTTTATCCAAAGCGACTTACAGTCATGTGTGCATACATTTTTACGTATGGGTGGTCCCGGGGATCGAACCCACTACCCTGGCGTTACAAGCGCCATGCTCTACCAATTGAGCTACAGAGGACCCATGGCCTGCATACTCACTAGACATGTCACCCATTGAGCATATTTGGGATGCTATGGATCGACGTGTACGACAGTGTGTTCCTGTTCCCACCAATATCCAGCAACTTCGCACAGCCATTGAAGAGGAATGGGACAACATTCCATAGGCCACAATCAATAGCCTGATCAACTTTATGCGAAGGAGATGTGTCGCGCTGCATGAGGCAAATGGTGGTCACGCCTGATACTGACTGGTTTTCTGATCCACACCCCTACCTTTTTTTAAAGGTATCTGTGACCAACAGATGCATATCTGTATTCCCAGTCATGTGAAATCCATAGATAAGGGCCTAATGAATTAAATTCAATTGATTGATTTCCTTATATGAACTGTAACTCAGTAAAATCTTTAAAATCGTTGCATGTTGTTTATCTTTTTGTTCAGTATAAAATCTATTAGCTTCCAAAATGTAAGTAGGTACACTACATGGCCAAAAGTATGTAGACACTCGTCTAACATCTCATTCCAAAATCATGGCCATTAATATGGAGTTGGTCCCCTCTTGGCTGCTATTACAGCCTCCACTCTTCTGGGAAGGCTTTCCACTAGATGTTGGAACATTGCTGCGGGGACTTGCATCCATTCAGCCAAAAGAGCATTAGTGAGGTCGGGCACTGATGTTGGGCATTCCAATTCATCCCAAAGGTGTTCGATGGGGTTGAGGTCAGGGCTCTGTGCAGGCCAGTCAAGTTCTTCCACACCGATCTCGACAAACCATTTCTGTATGGACCTCTCTTTGTGCACGGGTGCATTGTCATGCTGAAACAGGAAAGGGCCTTCCCCAAACTGTTGCCACAAAGTTGGAAGCACAGCATCGTCTAGAATGTCATTGTATGCTGTAGCGTTAAGATTTCCCTTCACTGGACCTAAGGGGCCGAGCCCAAACAATGAAAAACTGCCCCAGACCATTATTCCTCCTCCTCCAAACTTTACAGTTGGCACTATGCATTGGGGCAGGTAGCGTTCTCCTGGCATCCGCCAAACCCAGATTCGTCCGTCGGACTGCCAGATGGTGAAGCGTGATTCATCACTCCAGAGAACGTGTTTCCATTGCTCCAGAGTCCAATGGCGGCAAGCTTTACACCACTCCAGCCATAGCTTGGCATTGCGCATGGTGATGTTAGGCTTGTGTGCGCCTGCTTGGCCATGGAAACCCATTTCATGAAGCTCCCGACGAACAGTTATTGTGCTGACGTTGCTTCCAGAGGCAGTTTGAAACTCGGTAGTGAGTGTTGCAACAGAGAACAGATGATTCTTATGCGCTACGTGCCTCAGCACTCGCCGGTACCGTGATACAATATTTTGGCCATATTGCCCAGCCCTACACTTCATCAGTCTCTCATTCACAATTTGACAAGCACTTGATTATATCGTAGCATATATCTAGCTTTCCAGCCTGGTCTCATAGACTAGACGTAACATAGTACAATTAAATCCGGGACACTCAAATTAATATGATATGTTACGTTTGGTATGGTTACATAAGACCGATGGTTGGTCAGGGTGGATGGGTGTGCGTATAAAGCGAACGTCTAGCTACCCAAAGGTTGCAAGTTTGAATCTCATCACGGAAACTTTTGCATTTTAGCAATTTTTCCAACTACTTATTACTTTTGAGCTACTTTGCAACTACTTAGCAGGTTAGCTAACCCTTCCCCTAACCCTTTCACCTAACTCCTAAATGTAACCCTAACCTTAACCATAACCCCTAGCCTAGCTAACGTTAGCCAGCTAGCTAACGTTATACTTCTAGCTAGAATTCGTAACATATCATACGTTTTGCATATTCGTAACATTTAATACGAATTGTAATTCGTAACGCATCATACGAAATGGGTGAAGGACACCCACAAATTAGTACATACCATACAAAACGTAACATATCATCCTAATAGAGTGTCTTGGGTTTACATACAGAATAATATTAAATGCTTTGAGACCAGGTTGCAGCCAGCCATCTGATAACACATTCTGATGGAATGGCTTGTCCTGCACTTTGTAGAAACCCAGAGAATATCCTTTCTTTCTTTCCTTCCTTTCTTTCTAAACATAGCAATGTGAATGCTTTTTTTTTTACCCCTAAATTCACTTTAAAGAGGACTAAGATTTTAAAAGGGACTGAGTATTTGTGAAAACACCCTTAAAAGGAAAAGCATTAGCGAAGACGTTGCACAATATTGTAAATTACAACATATTTGTTGGCAGATAAGTGCTCCTGAAAACGTATAGCTAGTTATGAATAGCAAACGAGATGCCGAATGAATCAAATGGGATAGTAGCCAAGTAGTAGTAGGAGCAACAACTAGCTAGCTAGCTAGACTCGAGGAGTATCACAGATAGAACAATGAGACAGATATTTCACTGGATGTTTAAATGTGAAGCATCCGCTTGGCGTTTCCACTCACTACCAAATATGGTAGTAAGAGAAAGCCCACTGGTGGGCAGTGGGAGAAGATGGAACGAGATGGATTTTGGCCGAATTTCTGCAAAGTTTCTCATCGATGAAACATTTGATCTCAATACAGTTTTCTGTTCTCCAAACTAAAATAATTTATGAACAGAGTGGACTAAGGTTTGTAGACTTTACCCTTTGCAAACGTTTTTAAAAATCGTGTTGTTTAGGAGCGCAAAGGCGAATTGAGTTATTGCACAGGCGCACCCACAGAGTGGGCGTTCCCTAACGGAAATATGCAGATGATTCCAGAACGCGCCAATAGGATCTCGCTAGCTCGTGCTTGGCTCTGCCCTCTCCTTCCTTGTTCTGCCCACTATGGCTCATTTGTTTACGTGAAACGACAGGCTGTGGTCAATCTTGGTTTAGTAATACAAATCTTTGGTATCATCTTGCAATGAAACAGCTGGCCATACACATAAGGAACTATTTAGCAGCAGTAATCCACGGATTGAATGTATTTTTTGTTAAAATAGATTATGGTTTTGATGAAGGTTAGCTACCATTTTATCAACACCCAGTAATGATACCGTTATGTGTGCTGCTGATGATAGTACTGATAACGAGAGCTCGAGCTAGCTAGAGTTCCTTCTAGCTAGCTAGCTCAAGCGAAACTATCCGGGGACCCTGCTAGCCATCTCGCGGATGAAGAGAGACAGGAAAGAGCGGCGTTTCACAACTGGCCTTGCAAAGCTAGAAAACTAGCATAGTGGATGGAGATAACAGCTACCGAAACGTATGCTCGCCTTTTGCTTTGAATTGCAATGTTACCAATGAAATTATAGGTTACCTTGCTTCGTATCTGACCCGATGTGGAAACTTTGCGTATCAATTTCTGCGGAGATCCATGTTCCTGCTCTGGTTCACTATCCGAAGATTCATCCAGCCATTTTGCGGTGGTCTCTCCGACTGCCACCGCCATATCATTCGCCCCCAGGGAATGATATACACAATGAGTGGAAGGTGGATTCAAGACTAATTAGCACCCCCTTGTGGTCAAGACAGGGCAATGCAGCACCTATGTGGACTCGGGCCCTTTCTCAACTCATCTGTCCTCTCCCTGCGTTCTCTCTCGCCATCTTTTGGAAAAAGGTCAAAGGTAATCGAGGAGAGGGAACGTGGACGAAAATGTGCTTGTATGAAATGAGACTCTCCTCCATTCGCGCTTCTGTGCTTCCTCTTGAATATAAAACTGTATGGATCAAAACTGTTAGGCCTGGCCCATAGTTTCTTCTTACCACCACCATCCAATATTAAGTTTCCAAACCAGTCCACTTCTACCATTGAAGAGGTTGTCACAGTCAAATATTTTCAGGTTTAAAAATAGATTAAGTTAAGGAGAAAATAGTCCCCTCGATCAGCTTTCCCTAAAGTAAATTGAATTAAATTGCCAAAATTATATAGCCTAATTAGCCTACTCCTGTCCTGTCTATACAGAAATAAATACAATAATTCAAAATAGGCTACTAAAGCAAGATTTGGCCATAGAGGATCATTAGATTCTTAAAAAAAAAAAGTTGTGGCTTGTTTTAAATCACATTGCCTACGGTCAGAAGGAAAGGCAGCACGCGCAATTTGGGCAGCGCACCCGGCGAATACCAAATAGATGATTGTTGAGTTGAGACTGTCAGTGGAAAGTAGAGGCCCAGCCAGGCATATTGCAATATTTCAAAATAAAATTGCGGTAAAACATAGTTTGGAAAGCAAATGGCTATTGCTGTAAAGAGAATACGATTAAAATACTCTAATCTGTCTTTTAGTTAGGCTATCAAAATTCTCAATTTAATTGAGCGAACTCTGCACTATACTCTGCTATACACCCTGAGAAAAAAGGTGCTATCTAGAACCAAAAAGGGTTCTTCAGCTGGGACAGGTCAGCTGAAGAAACCATTTTGGTTCTAGATAGCACCTTTTTTTCTAAGAGCGTATAGCTAGAGTACACCTAGGCTATATCAGATACGTTTCTCCTTTTTTTGCACAACATTTTGCCTTTTATAAACACATTGGGGAACATAGGAGAACCCCTTGAAGAACCCCTTTTGGTTTCATGTAGAACCCTTTTCACAGAGGAACCAAAAAGGGTTCTACCTTGAACCAAAAAGGGTTCTCCTATGGGGACAGCTGCAGAACCCTTTTGGAATCCTTTTTTCAAAGCCATGCATTGAACAGTCTTTTTTGCAGACAGTGATTGAGTTAAATTATGACTATCCAATCTACTCATCACATTATGAATATAAAAGCTTGCAAGCCTTACATACAGTGCATTCGGAAAGTATTCAGACCCCTTCCCTTTTTCCACATTTTGTTACGTTACAGCTTTATTCTAAAATGGAATCAATCTAAACACAATACCCCATAATGGCAAAGTGAAAACGTTTTTTTTTACATTTTTGCAAATGTATAAAAAATAATAAACTGAAATACCTTATTTGCAGTATTCAGACCCTTTGTTATGAGCTCAGGTACATCCTATTTCCATTGATTATCCTTGAGATGTTTCTACAACTTTGTTACGTTACAGTTGGAGTCCACCTGTGGTAAATTCAATTGATTGGACATGATTTGGAAAGGCACACACCTGTCTTTATAAGGTCCCACAGTTGACAGTGCATGTCAGAGCTAAAACCAAGCCATGAGGTTGAAAGGAATTGTCCGTAGAGCTCCGAGACAGGATTGTGTCGAGGGACAGATCTGGGGAAGGGTACCAAAACATTTCTGCAGCATTGAAGGTCCCCAAGAACACAGTGGTCTCCATAATTCTTAAATGGAAGAAGTTTGGAACCAAGATTCTTCCTAGAGCTGGCTGCCCGGCCAAACTGAGTAATCAGGGGAGAAGGGCCTTGGTCAAGGGTGGTGACCAAGAACCCGATGGACACTCTAACATAGCTCTAGATTTCCACTGTGGAGATGGGAGAAACTTCCAGAAGGACAACCATCTCTGCAGCACTCCACCAATCAGGCCGTTATGGTAGAGTGGCCAGATGGAAGCCACTCCTCAGTAAAAGGCACATGACAGACCTTAAGACTCTCAGACCATGAGAAACAAGATTCTATGGTCTGATGAAACCAAGATTGAACTCTTTGGCCTGAATGCCAAGTGTCACGTCTGGCCTATGCTACCCTCCAGTCCCTCGACTTCCTGGCGCTGTCGGAAACATGGATTACCACTGAAAACACTGCTACTCCTACTGCTCTCTCCTCGTCTGACCATGTGTTCTCGCATACCCCGAGAGCATCTGGTCAGAGGGGTGGTGGCACAGGAATCCTCATCTCTCCCAAGTGGTCATTCTCAATTTTTCCCCTAACCCATCTGTCTATCTCCTCATTTGAATTCCACGCTGTCACAGTCACTAGCCCATTTACAGTGGGGAAAAAAAGTATTTAGTCAGCCACCAATTGTGCAAGTTCTCCCACTTAAAAAGATGAGAGAGGTCTGTAATTTTCATCATAGATACAGGTCAACTATGACAGACAAATTGAGAAAAAAAAATCCAAAAAATCACATTGTAGGATTTTTTATGAATTTATTTGCAAATAATGGTGGAAAATAAGTATTTGGTCACCTACAATCAAGCAAGATATCTGGCTCTCACAGACCTGTAACTTCTTTTTTAAGAGGCTCCTCTGTCCTCCACTCGTTACCTGTATTAATGGCACCTGTTTGAACTTGTTATCAGTATAAAAGACACCTGTCCACAACCTCAAACAGTCACACTCCAAACTCCACTATGGCCAAGACCAAAGAGCTGTCAAAGGACACCAGAAACAAAATTGTAGACCTGCACCAGGCTGGGAAGACTGAATCTGCAATAGGTAAGCAGCTTGGTTTGAAGAAATCAACTGTGGGAGCAATTATTAGGAAATGTAAGACATACAAGACCACTGATAATCTCCCTCGATCTGGGGCTCCACGCAAGATCTCACCCCGTGGGGTCAAAATGATCACAAGAACGGTGAGCAAAAATCCCAGAACCACACGGGGGGACCTAGTGAATGACCTGCAGAGAGCTGGGACCAAAGTAACAAAGTCTACCATCAGTAACACACTACGCCGCCAGGGACTCAAATCCTGCAGTGCAAGACGTGTCCCCCTGCTTAAGCCAGTACATGTCCAGGCCCGTCTGAAGTTTGCTAGAGTGCATTTGGATGATCCAGAAGAGGATTGGGAGAATGTCATATGGTTAGATGAAACCAAAATATAACTTTTTGGTAAAAACTCAACTCGTTGTGTTTGGAGGACAAAGAATGCTGAGTTGCATCCAAAGAACACCATACCTACTGTGAAGCATGGGGGTGGAAACATCATGCTTTGGGGCTGTTTTTCTGCAAAGGGACCAGGACGACTGATCTGTGTAAAGGAAAGAATGAATGGGGCCATGTATCGTGAGATTTTGAGTGAAAACCTCCTTCCATCAGCAAGGGCATTGAAGATTAAACGTGGCTGGGTCTTTCAGCATGACAATGATCCCAAACACACCGCCCGGGCAACGAAGGAGTGGCTTCGTAAGAAGCATTTCAAGGTCCTGGAGTGGCCTAGCCAGTCTCCAGATCTCAACCCCATAGAAAATCTTTGGAGGGAGTTGAAAGTCCGTGTTGCCCAGCGACAGCCCCAAAACATCACTGCTCTAGAGGAGATCTGCATGGAGGAATGGGCCAAAATACCAGCAACAGTGTGTGAAAACCTTGTGAAGACTTACAGAAAACGTTTGACCTGTGTCATTGCCAACAAAGGGTATATAACAAAGTATTGAGAAACTTTTGTTATTGACCAAATACTTATTTTCCACCATAATTTGCAAATAAATTCATTAAAAATCCTACAATGTGATTTTCTGGATTTTTTTTCCTCATTTTGTCTGTCATAGTTGACGTGTACCTATGATGAAAATTACAGGCCTCTCCCATCTTTTTAAGTGGGAGAACTTGCACAATTGGTGGCTGACTAAATACTTATTTTCCCCACTGTAAGCTTAATATCCTTGTCATCTATCGCCCTCCAGGTTCCCTTGGAGAGTTCATCAATGAGCTTGACGCCTTGATAAGTTCCTTTCCTGAGGATGGCTCACCCTTCACAGTTTTGGGGGATTTCAACCTCCCTACGTCTACATTTGACTCATTTCTCTCTGCCTCCTTCTTTCCACTCCTCTCCTCTTTTGACCTCACCCTCTCACCGTCCCCCCCTACTCACAAGGCAGGCAATACACTTGACTTCATCTTTACTAGATGTTGCTCTTCTACTAATCTCACTGCAACTCCCCTCCATGTCTCCGACCACTACTTTGTATCCTTTTCTCTCTCGCTCTCCTCCAACACTACTCACTCTGCCCCTACACAGATGGTAACGCGCCGCCGCAACCTTCGCTCTCTCTCTCCCACTACTCTCTCCTCTTCCATCCTATCATCTCTTCCCTCTGCTCAATCCTTCTCCCTCCAATCTCCTGATTCTGCCTCCTCAACCCTCCTCTCCTGCCTTTCTGCATCCTTTGACTCCCTGTGTCCCCTATCCTCCCGGCCGGCTCGGTCCTCCCCTCCAGCTCCGTGGCTTGACGACTCATTGCGAGCTCACAGAACAGAGCTCCGGGCAGCTGAGCGGAAATGGAAGAAAACTAAACTCCCTGCCGACCTGGCATCTTTTCACTCCCTCCTCTCTACATTTTCTTCATCTGTTTCTGCTGCTAAGGCCACTTTCTACCACTCTAAATTCCAAGCATCTGCCTCTAACCCTAGGAAGCTCTTTGCCACATTCTCCTCACTGCTGAATCCTCCCCCCCACCCCCCCCCCCCCCCCCCCCCTCCTCCCTCTCTGTGGATGACTTCGTCAACCACTTTGAAAAGAAGGTTGACGACATCCGATCCTCGTTTGTTAAGTCTAATGACACTGCTGGTCCTGCTCACACTGCCCTACCCTTTGCTTTGACTTCT